GTTTCAGGCTTGAGCCTACAGAAAGGACCCGCTCTTGGGGAAATCAGAGCGCTGGGCCCAGGGGGCCCCCAGAGGCTTCAAAGTCCTCACCACAGCTCAATCCAGGTCTGTTGGAGTGAGGGGGCATGGGCCAGGCTCTAGAGCACACTCACCTCTCTCCTTTGCTCCCTTATTCTATTCCACACGGTCTTGACCAGTTCTTGGTGAATGTGGGGCAAGGCTTTTCCAGAAGCCAAAGTGAGCCCTGCAGACATGCGTGAGGACATGGACAGCCCTGTGTGCTGGGACGCTGGGTGCCCCCAGCGATTTACAGAGGCCTGAAGCCCAGTGTGGGGGGATGGCAGGTGAACTCTCTCCCAGGTTCCCTATCCTTCATTCCAGACCTGTCCCATTGCATCAGCCTCCTGGGGCCATGTGTGGCCTTGGTCCACCCTGCCCCAGGAACCCTTGCTCTCCTGGCACATGTGTGGGAGCACATTATCTTACTGGTCAGGCGTCTCAGTGGCCAAGAGGCATCTGCTGCCCCTGGGCTGGCCTGCTGGGAAACACAGGCACCTGTGGTCAGTTTGTGCAGCTGTCATGGGCATCAGGGCCAAGCATCAAAACTCAACCCTGGCATCCAGAGCTTCTAAGGCCCAGAGGTTCTCAAGATCCAAGCCGTTAGTGTGTGTGGACCCAGCCTAGGCCTTGTCCCTTTCGGTGGCAGAGGGCCCACTTTGAGGGCAAAGGCCAGAGGGGCTGGCTCAGTGGTGGGTACTGGCTTCTCCTAAGGCCACACATCTCAGTAATGCCTATTGACCTGTGAGCCTTGGACTTTCCTACCTCAGGAAAAGGAGGAGGGTGGGACACAGAGGCCACAGGCCAGGGGCCCTAGGACATCTCCCAACTGGGCTCTGGGCCTTTCTGTGGGCTCAGGGCTCAGGCTGTCCAATCTTCTAGTCTTCAGTCTTTTGCTGGCTAGGTTGGAGCAGCACAGAGCCAGACCCCGACCTAGGCCTCTGCCGAGTGCCCCACTTGGCTAGCCTCCCTTCTCAGGCCAGGCCGCGGTCCACATCACAGCAGCGCTCTCCCAAAGAGGTGTGGCTCCCCTCCTGCCCAGCAGTTACCCCACCTGGAAGCCATTAGGTCCAGGAACCAGCTAGTCTGGGTGCAGGTGAGGGGTAAAAGAACAGTTGGAGGAGCACAGAGAGGATGGGTGGGATGGATAGGATGGATGGGGGAGGAGGCAGGAACTGCATAGGGACTACGTGGAGATCAGCCACTTCTGGCACGTTCTCCTTCAGAAAGATCCAGGCCAGGGCAGCCCCGGTGGCCCAGCGGTTTAGTGCTGCCTTCGGCCAAGGGCGTGATCCTGGAGACCCAGGATCGAGTCCCATGTCGGGCTCCCTGCATGGAACCTGCTTCTCCCTCTGCCTGTGTCTCTGCCTCTCTCTCTTCACTCTCTGTGTCTGTCATGAATAAATGGGTAAAATCTTAAAAAAAAAAATGATCCAGGCCAAAGCTTGGGTGGTTTTCAGAATTATATAAACACTGAGGATTAGGTGGGAGGGGGAAGAGGTGAGGTGGGGTTGGGGTTGGGGATGGGGTGGGGCAGGGTTTGTCTGAGCCGCCTACAGACCCACCGGCCAGGACCCCTCCTGCAGGTGGCCTGGATCACCGGTGGCCCTCCTATGGAGGCCTCCAGGCAAAGCTGGCCTTTGTCCCCAGCAGCACAGAGGACAAAGGCTGGACTTGATCTCAGCCCATGGCTTCCTGGGAGCACAGTGAGGCCTTGCAATAGCCCTTTGTTCACCAGCACTGTTCCTCAGACACAGGCCTGAGATAGCAAATGAGCTGCTCCCTAACCCTGTGGTCTTGCTTCCATGACCTTTAATCCCATGGTACCCAGAGGCTGAATCCCAGGGACAGAGGATGCAGTGCCCTCACTAGGGTCAGGCCAAGGGTCATGTTGAAAGGTGTTGAGTAGGGACATCCAAAGGGTTCCCAGGAAGGGCTTGTATCCCTACTTTGGGGACAGGAGCTGTTTTTCCAAACCAGCTGCTCATTGCTTCCTGACAACCTTGGCAGTGGGCCTGGTGGCACAAGACAGGCGGCCTCATCCTTCCTCCCACCCAAAGGAACGTGACCCAGACCCCATTTTCTCGGCTTCTGGGGCTCCCGGGCCCCTGTCCAGATATTCCTGTTCTCCTCACTGTCCCCTGGAAATTGGTGCTCCTCTGGGCCTGCAGATTTCATCATCGTACCCAGGTGGCCATCAGACCAGGGCCCATACACAGATGATTCCTGATAAGAGGTGGTGAGGGCCTGGAGGCAAGAGGAGGTACACGCAGAACAGCCCAGCCATCTGGAAGGGGCCCATGAAAGTGGTAGAGCAGAACTTGCCATGGATGCTTTCCTTCCTGCTTTCTGGAAAATCACCCTTCAGACATCTTCCAAACCCTAAAGAAATAGATAGTTGTCAGAAGGGGGCCCTAAAGGTCAGAAGACCCCTGTGTCATGGAAGGAAGCAAGGCTTGGACAGGGGGCCTAATGCCCTGATGCCCCAGCTAGAGCTTCACAGGCAGGATTCAGGGGAGCCTCAAACTCTTTGTTGGTCAGGTCTACTCCTTCAAGGACTGCATCCTAACCGATTCATGTCGACAATGGGGTCTACACTGGAATCTTGGGTGTGCAAATCAGAAGCATTATTTAAATTACATTTGAAACTGAGCAGAGTATGGAAAATCCTGACCACTTTATATTCTTTCCTCCAAAATTCTTCCTGGAATCCAGTCAAAGGAAGAAGTTGGAACTCCAACAATACAGATAAAAAGACATGGATCCACTTGTGTGGCACCCATCATGAATGAAACTCAGGCACGGCCCAGTGGTGATATTACTCACACCACCTTAATAGACAGCAATGTTTCATTTGAATATTTAGAAATAATTGTTGACAAGACAGAGAAAGGGACAAGACACCAATTCTGGAATGTGTGGGTGGAACAAAGGCTTCCTCAGGCAGTGGCTGGAGGCCAGCTGGAAGCCCAGAAAAGAGGGAAAGGTCCTAGGCTCACAAGATACCATTTCAAAACTGTGTCCCCAGATGAAACGTAAGAAAGATTTTGCTGTAAGAATGTTGAATTTTTATGAATTTGCTTTTGAAATTATCTGGCTATAAACAACTCACTCTCAAAACTCAAGACCACAGGGCAGTCATAAAGTATCTCAGGGTTTTGCGCAAAGAAGAAAAAACTTTTTTTAAAAAAAAGATTTTATTTATTTATTCATGATAGACATAGAGAGGCAGAGACACAGCAAGAGGGAGAAGCAGGCTCCATGCAGGGAGCCCCACGCAGGACTCGATCCCTGGACTCCAGGATCACGCCCTGGGCCAAAGGCAGGCACTGAACTGCTGAGCCACCCAGAGATCCCCAGAAAAACCTATTCTGTGAACTTTTGTTTAGATGGATGAAGCCCTTCTAAATACTTAAGGGATGATGAAGACGGCATCATATTATTATGTTCTGAGGTAGCCATGTTAAGTAAACACTAATTTGGCTTTTGCTGCTTTCCTTTCTCATTTTTCACCTTTGGTGGGGCTCCTGGGCAGCCCTGGGGGCTTCCTGCCAGGCTTGGCCCACCCTGTGGATGAGCCTAGGAAAAGCCCAACCTGAGAGCACTGTCTGCTAACTAGTCTGAAGTACTAATTTTAAATCTCTGTAAAGAAAAGAAAAAATAAATCGCTGTAAAGAAAAACAAGTGAGGGACGCGTGGGTGGCTTACTGGCCCTGATCCCAGGGTCCTGGGATTGAGCCCCCCCACCCCGCACGGTGGGGCTTCCTGCTTCTCTCTCTCCCTCTGCCCCTCCCCTGCTTGTGCTCTCAACTAAATAAATTGTATCTTTAAAAAGAAAAAAGAAAGTTGGCCTGGTTGGCCTGGATTTCCCGGCCCATCCCTCCAAGTCAAGGCCGGCCCAGTGGTCCCCAGGGGAATTAGAGGCCAGTGCACGTGTGCGCATACACACCCCCGTCTGGGCCGCGGTGGTGGGTTCCGGGGCGCTGTGGCCCGGCACCAGGCCTCGCCCAGTTCCGGGGCGGCGGCAGGGGAGCCCAGGTGCTCAGAAGTCCGAGAAGCCTGGCCCCAGGCGCGGCGGCGGCTCTGGAGGCGTCACTTCCGGCGCGTCGCTTCCGGTCGGTGGCATCCGTCCTCCCCCGGCCCGGCGGTCGCGTAGAGCGGGGCGGAGGGACGATGGCCGCCCCATGGTGAGGCGCTGCCCGCCCGGCCTCCGCTGCCTACGGGACAGAAGGGTCTGCTCGGGGCTTCCCGGCGCACGCGAAACGGCCCCGCCCGCGCCTCAGCCGCGCGCAGAGCCCCCGGGGCGTCGCAGCCCGCCCACCCCGACCCCAAGGCCGCGAGCGGCGCGCCCCGTCTGTACCCGGAAGCCGCGCTCTCCGGCCCGCGGCCCGCAGCCCACCTTAAATGCTGCGCGCCCTTAAGGCCCCGCCGTGGGGCGGGGTCGCCCCGTGTGTGGAGGGCGCCGCGCCCCCCGCCCGCCGTGCCGGGGGAGCTCGGCCCTCCCCAGAGTCCGGCGGCCCGGTCCTCGAGGCCGGCCGGTGAGCAGGCCCCGAGGCCCCGGGGTGGGCGCGCGTCGTCCAGGCTCGCGGGCGGAGGCCCCGGGCGTGTGCTCCCGGATGCGCACGGAGACCCCGCGCCGCTGTGGTCCCGCGGCCCCGCTGCGACCGGTGGGTGGAGGCGCCCGGCGGGCGCCCCGGAGCCCCGCATCCCCCTCTGCAGAGCAGGGCCCGGGACGCGGGGGACCGCTCTGGCCGCGGGGAGCCCCCAGGCTGGGTCATTGTCTCGGGGTGGTGGCCAGTCGGCCCGGAAAACGCTCAATACACGAAGCGGTCAGGTTGCCTCCAGTAGCTGCCGCACGCGCTGCGGCCCTAAGCCCGGCCGTCCGGCTCCCGGCCCCCTCCTCCGAGAAGCCCCCTGGCCCACCCCAGCGCCTTCGCCCGGCCCGGCCCGCCTCCTCCCACGCGCTTGCTCCGCCCACCTCCAGCCGCAGCCTCGCTGGCCCGAGGGCGCGCCCGCCCTTCCTGGCCGCCTGGGCCCAGCGGGGTGGGGGCAGCGCTGGGGGCACGGCCTAGAGCGGAGCCGGGTGGCCGACGCTGCGTCCGCCCTGGGGCCGGGGTGCCGTCGCGCACGGATGTCCTGCCGCGGGAAGCTGACCTCCGTGCAGTGGCCGAGTTGCCAGGCTGCCCAGGACCGTCCGTGAGTCGGGCTCCGGCGACGCCGCTGGGTGTACCGGCCGCGGCCACCAGGCCCCCTGCCCCGCGTCGCTCACTGCTGCTGTGAAGCGGGAGCCTGCTTAGACGTGCAGTCTTTGTTCAGTGGCTTCTTTAAAGTTTGGCTTTTTTAATGGAGTGGAATGTACTTTACCGAAAGTATTTGAATTTGCAAGTAACATTTTAAAGCAGAATGAAAGCGTATTAAACAGCATGAGAATGGGCATTAAGAGCGGAATAGAAAGGATTTTAGATGAGACAAATCCACTTGCAATGTAAACAAATTACAAAGTGGAGAGAAGCAAACCAGGATTTTAATGAACGTGGGATTACGCCTGTCAAAAGTTGCCGGTTCCTCTGAATCTTGTGTGCTTTTTAAATTGGGGCACATCGTGCAAAGGTCTAAGAACTCTGCTCTCACTTTATGACAAATATTTTTTTTTCAAAACTTGTCCAGCTACATTATGTCACCTTGGTAATAGGCCAGTGTTTATTACATACATACTCCATTGGATACTTGGATAGTATCCAGCTTTTCAGTGATAAAAACAAGACTATCTGTCTATTCTGGTAGGTACAAAGGGCCAGCGTGACCTTTGTTAAATTGTTTCTTTAGGACAGATTTCTCAGAGATGAAGTTTTTATTTATTTATTTTTAAGATTTATTTTTTCATGAGAGACACAGAGAGAGAGGCAGACAGGCAGAGGGAGAAGCAGGCTCCATGCAGGGAGCCCGATGTGGGACTCAATCCCAGAACTCCAGGACCACGCCCCGGGCCAAGGGCAGATGCTCAACCACTGAGCCACCCAGGTGCCCCTCCAGAAATGGAATTTTTTAATTATAGTGTATAAAACTTGTAGACTTTCAGTAAATTTTATCTAAAATGCCCTGCTGACAATTTGAACCAATCTAGATTTCCTTACCATGTGTTTGAGAACATCTTGAGTTGTTTGTTCTAGAACAGGAATTGTTATTCTCAGGCTGATGAGCCTTGGAATTTAGGACTCTGCAAAATTGGCTGGGGAAACATCAACGTCTTTATTTTCAGCAACCTCCAGCCGAACGTTTCTTCAGTGGTGAATGTTCCACGGTGACACTAGCGTGTAGCAGCAGCAGAGCCCAGGCCCCTTCCTGTCCCTGAGCCCCTCACTGCAAAGTTGAACAGAGTTCCAGTCCCCCTACCTCCCCACACCTGTTTAGGACATGTTAGGTAGTGGGGCACTTAAAGTCAAGATGTCATGTGTGCACATTCTGAGGACAGCTCTGGGCAGGAGAGCAGTCAAGAGCTGCTCCCTGGACGAGTAAAGATGATTTATTAGCCACCTACTCCACGCTGGTCAGAAAACGTTATGCCTTAGTTCTTGTTTGTGATACTATCTGAGAGGGAGATCACTCAGACCTTTATCACCAGTGACCTGGGGGTAGCCAGTGCTGCACCCTGTTTCCAGGCAGACTTGAAATCTACTGTTGGCTCTTAAAGCCAATTCTTTCTTGTCAGATGAAGGCCGCTGACCTTTAGTTTTTGCAGGACAAGAATTGCTTCTCTCTGAAAGCAACTTGAATCACATGGTCCATGAAGGAAGAGGCTGTGGAAGCACGGGAGCTGGAGTCCAGGAAGGCATTTGTGACCCCACCAGGACTTTGGTGAGTGTGACCCTTTGAGCTCAGGACCATTTGGCCTGCAGCTTTTCGTGTGTGCTCCCCAGCATTGGATCCTAGAGCAGCTGTACCGTTCCAAGCTTAAACTCCGGGCTAACGGCTGATTATAAACCTGATTTCATTTGATCCACGTTGAGACCTTTGTGTCTCAACTCCATTTGTATATTGCTGTATGTTACTCGTTTTTACTGTTGTCTGATGTCACATTGTATGAAAATTCCCTGCCTGACGTGTCCGTCCTCCTGTGAATAGATAGCTGGGTTTCTGCTGCAGATGCTCTTACTGGTGTCTTGTGGTGCACACGGGCTGGACTATCCGCAGGGGATGTTCTCTAGGTTGCAGTGGTTTGCAGGATCATGGTGAAGGCTGCCCGGTGGTGATTATCTAATTGTACCCCCCCTTCTACATCAGTCTGTTGATTTTGTAGTGGAAGGAAGAGCTTTCTTCTCTAACCCGTTTATCACTGGATGTTTGGGTACTTGTTTTATTCGTTAGGTTCTAACCTTGTGCCATCATTATTGACTTTCTCTTTCACACTGCCCCTGGATCTCTCTGGAGAATATTCTGTTCAGAAGGTACACGGGTGGGTTCTTGGTCTGCTGTCTTCACTGTGACTATGTCATTTATTTGGTTTGTGGTTTAGTTCACCTCTGTTTGTATCGCACTTCAGAAATTTTATTGAGTTGGGTTATTTTTGTTTTTTAAGCATGTGGAACATTAATAGAGTTCCAGAAGTCATAACTGTCTGAACAGATGTACTTGAGAACTGTTGTCTGCTCATATTCCCTCTCCGATCCACCTTCCTGCCCTGTCACCAGTCTCCTTGGGCTTGGGCTTATCTTCCTCACGTTTATTGTTGTTCAATGTGATTTTATTTTATTTTTAAAAGATTTTATTTATTTATTCATGAGAGACAGAGAGAGAAAGGCAGAGACACAGAGGGAAAAGTAGGCTCCATGGAGGAAACCCGATGCGGGACTTGATCCCAGGACTCCAGGATCACACTGAGTCAAAGGCAGACACTCAACCACTGAGCCTCCCAGGCATCCCTTATTTATTTATTTTTAGTCATCTCTACACCAGTGTGGGCCTCAAACTCATTACCCTGAAACCAAGAGCCACACAATCCCCGACCAAGCTAGCTGAGCACCCCTGCTTCATCTCTTTAAATTGCTTGTCTTCCCTGGTTTTCTCTGCTGGAACTTTCATGCTTATTTTTTTTTAAGATTTTATTTATTTTTTCATGAGAGAGAGAGAGGCAGAGACATAGGCAGAGGGACAAGCAGGCTTCATGCAGGAAGCCCTATGTGGGACTCGATCCCAGGTCTCCAGGATCACGCCCTGGGCTGAAGGCAGGCCCTCCACCATCGAGCTACCCAGGCGTCCTTTTCATGCTTATTTTTTCTCCATACTTGGGTTACCGTCACTGTATTATTTTGATTTCAGTCTCTGTGCTGCATTCCAGATAATTTCCTCCGACATTTTTCATTTCTTCGAACGTGGTAACTTTTTTCAGCTCTGTCGTGTCTGTGTAACCCATTAATTGAGATGTTTTGTATTTCAGATTTTTCAAACTTATTTTGAGGAACTTGTAGACTTACAGAAGAAACAACTGTACCTGTATGCTCTTCTCCCAGCTCCCCTCCTGATGTCCTCCATGACTTCAGTGAGATTTACTAAGTATTACCGGTGCATTGTTCCCAGCTAAATATCCATACAAAACTACCACGTAACCTGCAGACTGTGTTCAACTATGGTCAGCTTGCCACTGACGTCCGTTCTCTGGTGTGCGCTCCTGTCTGGGTGCTATCCCATATTGCATTCAGTGGCTGTGTTCCAGTGGTCTTTGCCGGTTCTTGACTTTGTGACCTGAGGACTTTTAGGTTTGTCTGACATATTTCCTCAACTAGATTTTCGGTCATGTGTCTGTGGCATGAAAACCACAGCAGTGCCAGGTTCTCCTTTAGTGCCTTGGATCAGGACAAACATGATGTCTCTCTGTCTCTAGTGATTTCAACTTTGGGCGATGTCTGCCAGTGTCTTGGGCTAAAGTCATGCCTCTCCCCTCTGATTAGATAGCACCTGAAAGGGAGCAGTTTGGATGCAAACACATCCTTTTTTCAGCCCTGCAATCGGGCGACTCCTCTCTGGACATTCATCCCTCCTGGCATCTTGAGTGGCATCTTGGGTCCCTGCATGGTGTCCTGTCACTCTGCTGCCCTTGGCTTGTCTGCCCCTCCCTGGAGCGCCAGGCAACTGCCCCTCCCCCACTGGCAGCCCTTCTCAGCAGGTAATCTTTGATCTTTGATCCCTATCCTTTGATCTTCAGGCCTGAACTGAGCAGGATTTTCTCCAGAGCTAATTTCTTCTCCTGGCACCAGACTACGGGTGTGACTGGGAGCAGGACCCAGAGAGCAGGTCCAGGTTCATGGCCCACCTGCCTCAAGTACCCCTGGCTGCTACTAGGGGATCCTGTCCTGAGTTGGAGCTTCCTCAGAGCCTCTGGTGAGATTTCGCTTCTGCTATCCTACACCTGATTTCCAAAGGCCCTTTTTGATGACATCTCCCTGTGGCTGGGCGCTTCGTGTCTCTGGTACCCCCCTTCCTGGGACCTGCTACCTCCTCCTCTGGCCTCCTTCCAGCCCCTTCCTCTAGTTCCTTGTCTTGCTCTTCTCCCAGCTGCATTCTCTGTCCAGGCCTCTCCTGGGGGTCGTGATTTCCATACTCAAAATCTGTCCTTTGCCTGTTGAATCTTTCAGAGAAGAGTCTCCTGGTCTCCTGCCTGTCCTCTCTGTGATCTTCAGTCCCTGCTTTCTCTGCAGACCAAGGCCTATTTCCACCCCCTAACCCCAGTCCCTGGAGGAGTCTGAGTGCTGTCACTCTCCTGGCTGAGCCCCTTGACATTCTTGCTTTTTTGCTTCTCTCCCCAACCTCCATGGGCTTCTATCTCACCAAACAAAGCAAGGAAGCAGTTGAGAATCCTGGTGTGACTGATAAGTCTTGATGTGAAGGATAGAGGCAGACCCAGTGTCTGTCATGCCTTGGACAGCTCCAGACCTGGTTTTCATATTTGGACTTGGTGTGGGAACCATGCACACTTGGAGGGCTCCTGCCCCTCAGTTACTCTGGCTGGACATGAGGCCAGGGGTCTGCCTGTCATTGTGCCTGGTTGTCACGTTGGCTCATCACTGGGCTGGGTAGGCTGCCTATGAAGATGTTGATGGTCACGGAAAGATTGTTCACTGGAAGGTGAGCATTTCTTGGTGGCCCAAGCATCTATCCTGGGCTTCCTGAGCCCTGTTATGGACATGGGGGATGGGAGCACTGGTTTGGTGGCTGCTGGGGCCCCAGCACCTGATGGTAGCCTCTGTGTGTATGGGAGGAGGGGAAAGTGCAACCTCTCACACACAGGAAGAGGAAGCTCCCAGGCACCAAGGAGCAGATGGTGAGGGTGGCCACCCCCAGTTACCAAGAGAGGCCCTCACCCTCTGAAGGTGGGTCTACAGGGCTGGACAGCAAGCTTCAGATCTGGGGATCTGGGGGCGGGCAGGCAAATTAGGTCTGCTAGAAGGTGCTGTGAGCCCTGCCCTCCCCTCACCATACAGCTTCCCTGCTTGGTTCTCACCAATGGGCTCTGGCCTAAACAAGCATGGAAGCATGGTGTCAGCAGCTGCTGGGGCTTGGGAACCAGCTGAGGACCTGGAAGATGCTCCTCCTGTTGACGAGAGCTCTTCAAGGTGCATGGGGCTCTTTTCCACATGGAAGTCTTGAGCTTATAGAAGAGTTTAGAAAATAGTATGCTGCCTCCCTACACACCTGCATGCCCTTTGCTTTCCCTCGAGTCCCATCCTTGCCGTCTCCCCCACCTCATGAACCTGAACCTGAGTTCCCTGCTCCCCACTCTTTTTCAGAACCTTTTCTATTTTCATTTCAAAATAATATTGGGGTTTTGGCATGTTTAACAGCCTTATGGGGAAACATGTTGAATATTTCCTTCTACTGCTTGGTCTTATCATTTCAGACCTCCAGCAGCTTTAAGATTTCCTTATTGGCTCTCATGGCAGAGCCCCACATCCAGCTGCTGTAGGCCTTGGCCTCACAGATGTGCTATGATCTGTTTCTGCCCCAGTAGACATTTAGGCTGTGTTTTGCTACTAACAGAAATGCTAGGGGCACTTGAGGTGCTCAGTCAGCTAAGCCCCCGACTCCTGATTTCAGCTCAGGTTATGACCTCGAGGTCCTGGGATGAGCCCAGCATTGAGCTTCATGCTCTGCGAGGAGTATGCTTCTCCCTCTCCCTCTGCCCCTCCCCCACCATGTGCTTGCATTCTCTCTCAAATAAATAAACCTTAGAAAAAAGGAAAGAAAGAAAGAAATGCTACATTAAACCCCATCCCCAGGCAAAGATGTGAGCATGCTTGAAGGGCTCATGGATCCCCTAGAACCACCAGCTCTGTGTCTACAGCCATCCTCAGCCATGCACCCTGTGAGTCATCTCTTCTTTTATTGTTTCTTGTCACTCGCAGAGACTCTTGAAGGGTTACATCCACACCAATTAGGTCTGGAACCTGCTTGCATTTGTGCTGCTGGGTGTTTTCAGCCTGGAACATTTAGTGACGGAACCCACAGAGCACCTCAATCACCCTGAACAAAACTGTGGGACTGGGCTGGAGAAGAGGAGGCAGAACAGGGGCACTGCAGTGGAGCCGGGCATTGTCAGTGTCCTGAGGCATTGAGGAGCTCGTGCTCAAGAGGAGGCAGTAGGAGCCCATGGAAGGAAGGGCCAGGCACACCCCATAGGGACAAGGTCACACATTCTGGGAAGATGCGGGTGCTTGCTGGGGCCTGTGGTGCTGAGTTCATGGTGGACAGAAGGACAGACATTGGGGGTCAAGGCATGGTAGGGGGAGGATGGCCGAGTCTCTGGTGCTACCTGTGCCTGGGTGATAGGAGCCAACTTTTGGGCATGGGGAAAATGAGTCTTAGGTTTGGGGCACCTGGGTGGCTCAGTGGTTGAGCACCTGCCTTTGGCTCAGTAGTGATCCTGGGGTCCTGGGATGGAGTCCTGCATCAGGCCCCTTGTGGGGAGCCTGCTTCTCTCTCTGTCTGTGTCTCTGTCTCTTTCTGTGTGTCTCATGAATAAATCAATAAAATTGTTAAAAACATGGGACACCTGGGTGGCTCAGCGGTTGAGCATCTGCCTTTGACTCAGGGCGTGATCCCGGAGTCCTGGGATCGAGTTCCACATCAGGCTTCCGGCATGAAGCCTGCTTCTCCCTTGGCCTATCTCTCTGCCTCTCTCTCTCTCTCTGTCTCTCATGAATAAATAAATTTAAAAAATAAAATCTTAAAAAAAAATTGTTAAAAACAAAACAACCCAAAGTCTTAAGCTTGAGGAGCTTTTGGGCACTTGTCTGCAGATGAACATCAGAGGGCAGCCCAGTTGACTCAGTGGTTTAGTGCCACCTTCAGCCCAGGGCCTGATCCTGGAGACCCGGGATAGAGTCCCACATCAGGCTCCCTGCATGGAGCCTGCTTCTCCCTCTGCCTATCTCTCTGCCCCCCCCCCTGTGTGTATCTCTCATGAATAAATAAATAAAATCTTAAAAAAAAAAGATGAGCAGCAGAGCTGGCAGGCTGAGCTGCCAAGGGAGGTCCTGCTGGAGGTGCCAGCCTACAAGAGAGGAGCTGCCAAGCCCCTGCTAGTGGTGTAGCCAGCTTAGCACCTGGATGCCTCATGCTACACACCGTGGAGTCAGGGATGCAATGTGATGGAGATTCTTTTAGATGTATCATGGGCAAGAGGAAACCCACAGACGTCAGAAGCTGTGGGAACAGGAGGCTTGCTGGAGACTCAGGTTTGAAGTCACTGGGGAAGGAGGTGGGATTCTGGCCCTCCTGAGATGGGGGCAGGCAGTTGTCACAGAGGACTTGCCTGGCCGCCATGGGAGAAGCTGAATCTGACTAAGCCTGTGATCTTAGGAAAGAGGACGGAGGCTCACTTGAGAAGCTGCTACCACAGGTCTGAGACCAGTCGCTAGGGGTTTGGTATGCTGCAGGTTTTGTCTAGAAAGTAGACACTTTTAGGGCATGTGACAGAGGCGGACCCCAAACCCTCACCCTGGGCCCAGGGTGGACAGTGGCCCCACACAACGTGATCTGCTAGAAGTGATTGTCATGTGACCCCCGGTGCTGGAGCCCACTGACACACAGAGAATCAAGGTGGTGCTGCTAAGGTCTCGGGTAAGGAACTGTCAGAGAACATAGAACAGAAGATGTAAGAAGGAACCAAAAGATCAGGAAAGAACAAAACACAGGGGCCCCCTAGCCAGCCTGGTTGAAAGAGCATACGACTCCTGATCCTGAGACCATGAGTTTGAGCCCTATGTTAGGTGTCGAGATTACTGTAAAAAAAAAAAAAAATTTTTTTTTTTTTTTAGTTAAAAAAGAACAAGATACTGTGAGAAAAACTGATCAATTTCAGGTGGAAACAAATAGAACTGGTTAATATATGAACAGTCAGGGTGCCTGGGTGGCTCAGCAGTTGAGCACCTGTCTTCTGCTCACATCATTGTCCCAGGGTCCTGGGATCGAGTCCCATATCGGGCTCCCCACGGGGAGCCTGCTCTGTCTCTGCCTGTGTCTCTGCCTCTCTCTGTGTCTCTCATGAATAAATAAATAAAATCTTTAAAAATATATGTGTATATGAACAGTCAGGTAAGGGCACGGGAGAGCAGCAAGGGTATCCATTTGGCACCAAGACCCACCAGCGGCCTGGGTGTGGCCTCTCCTCTGGGAACCAGTGATAAGGTGTGCAGCCCCTGGGGTGGCCTCAGGAGCCTGGGGGTTTGGTGGTCTGCAGGGGGGCATCCTGGGGTCTGCAGACAGCGGGCAGGTGGGGAAGGGCAGCTGGTGGAGGCTGTGGTTCTCAGCACCTCAGGCAGTGGAGATGGTTGCCATTGGGGTCCTTGTCCCAGCACAGGATGCTTTCACACAGATGTGAAAAGAAAGCCAAAATTCCACGTTTGCAGTTACTCCAAATTGGTGGTTACAACTTTTGAGGATGTTAAGATGTTCACAGTGAGTACTGCGCTTTCCTTATGGCTTGGGAGGGCAAGTCACGGTCCATGCTCTGTCCCTGCAGGTCCTCACCCCAGAGTCAGCCTAACTCATGCTGCCCTTGGCCTTGAGGAGACAAGCATGTCGGCCTCAGCCAAATCACTGGCACTGGCAGAGCTGGTCCCCGGCCCCGAGGACAAGCCCAAGGGGAGGCCGCTCCTTGCCTGGGGGTCTCTCTTTGGCCACCGCAGTGAGAAGATTGTTTTCGCCAGGGGCGAGGGAGCCCCTGAGGAGAATGTGCTCACCATAACCATCACGGAGACCACGGTCATAGAGTCAGACCTGGGCGTGTGGAGCTCGCGGGCTCTGCTGTACCTCACGCTGTGGTTCTTCTTCAGCTTCTGTACCCTTTTTCTCAACAAGTACATCCTGTCCTTGCTGGAAGGGGAGCCCAGCATGCTAGGTAGGTAACACAGGGCCTACCTTCCAGGGGTCAAGGCTAGGCTCCTGGGACTTGCAGGGCAGGGCTGGTTACATGAATTGGTCCTTGGGAAGGAGGGGCTATGGGTCGGGGTGTCGGATGTGTCTGGGGTGCAGAACCGCATGCTCCGTCTGCCTACACGCTAGGAAGGGAGTTCACACGCTCTCCTCTCCCTCTCCTTCAGGTGCGGTGCAGATGTTGTCAACTACGTTCATTGGATGCATTAAAATATTTGTTCCTTGCTGTTTATATCAACACAAAACCCGCCTTTCTTATCCACCCAATTTCATTATGATCATGCTGTTTGTGGGTCTAATGAGGTAAGGAATCTGATGTTCCAGTTGTGTGTTGCATGGCATGTCTTGGCCTCGCTAGGAGTGGGAGGCCAGTGGACTGACTCTACAACCACGTGATCACAGGCATGTTTCTGTTGTGGACTTTATGTAGTCATAAGAGCTGTCTGGATTTTAGGACAACAAATGTATTGGTTTTGTGGATCTGAATGCAATCAGATTTCTTTCTGGAAGTCATGAATCTAATTTAATAATGTTTTGAGAGTGACGCCCCTCATCTCAATGGGCCCGCCACTCTGGGGACATGGAGCAGCACCCCACAGTTTGCAGGGGTGCACCTAGGACTCCCCAGGGGAAGCAAGGAGGGGGGCGGGCAGCTGGATCCTCTGTCCCACTGACACTTTTTGGCTTATTTTTAGGTTTGCAACAGTGGTTTTGGGTCTGGTCAGCCTGAAAAACGTGGCGGTTTCATTTGCTGAGACGGTGAAGAGCTCTGCTCCCATTTTCACTGTGATTATGTCCCGGATGATCCTGGGGGAGTACACGGGTGAGTGTTCCTCTAGCCCCAGCGCCTCTTCCCCCTTGGGTAGGGGGTTCTTTCAGCAACAGCATGATGCTGGGGGTCACTTCTCCAAGGTGGACGGTTCATGTTTTGTGAACATGCCCTGGTGTAGGGAGTCTCCCACCACAATCTGCAGTCTATGTGGGGCCTGTCAGGGGGACACCCAGCAGAGCCTTGGACTCTATCCCAGGGCCCTGAGCATGCCCACACCCATGGATACCTCCCAACTGCAAAAGCAAATCCTTCCTAAGGGCAAAACGGCACTTGTAGCCTCCTGTTCTCTGGGTTTTCACACATACAGTCCATCATGAAACAGACATTTTTGGCGGGCTGGAGGACAAGACCACATGCTAGAGAACCGAGGCAGGGCTCACAGGCAGAGTGCTCAACATGCCAGATTCCCTTCCTCCAGCTCTCAGCCTGGCAACTGCATAGGCCTGGGAGCTGCTTCTCAGTGTGCTGGTGGCTCCCTAGAGACCTGGGTCTGAACAGCACTGTCCTGTGCCAGGAGGTGGCCATTGTCTCCAAAGGTCAGAGTGGAACCCTAACATGGAAGACTCTCCCTCGTCTACTTTGAATTTCACAGTAAACTAAATAGTATCTGAAATTGAAGCAACCAGAGGCCCAGTATCCTGTTTCCAAAGTGAGTGCTGTTCCGTCCTGCTCAATGGACTTTTTTTTACAAAGATTTTTTTTTTTTTAAGATTTTATTTATTTATTCATGAGAGACACAGAGAGAGGCAGAGACACAAGCAGAGGGAGAAGCAGGCTCCTGTGAAGAGCCCAATGTGGGACTCGATCCCAGGACCCCGGGATCACGCCCTGAACCAAAGGCAGACACTCAATCACTGAGCCACCCAGGTGCCCCTCAATGACATTTTTAACCTTTTGTGTCGAGTTTGTTCCTTAGATTTCAGAATGAGGCAGAGAAGTAATCTCCACATAGATTGCAGATTGTGGTGGGGGACTCTGTACACCAGGCCATGAAACTGCCCCCACCCTTGGCTCCCCCTTTTTGGACAGACTGGTCTGGAGACTGCTTGTCCACCCTCCTCATTCTCAAGCGAATTTCTGTGATGCCCGGCCAGGCAGGGCTCAGGGTCCCCCGGCTTATGCATCTTGCCCGTGGACCCAGCAGACACACCTCATGGAGATAGGCCTCACAAGGCTACTGGCCTGGGAGATGGTGGCAAGCTTATTGCGGGTATGGACGTTGATGTGTTGTAATTTCCCTCCAGTGTAAAGACTCAGAAGCTGCTTGTTTTTGAATGAAAGTGGAATTAGCAGCTTCCATGAGGGGTATGAAGATGGCCTTGGTGCCCAGAAGAGATTTTGCAGCAGGAAGACTGACCACCACATCTCTTTTGTGTATTTTGTCCTTTCTAGGGCTGCTGGTCAACCTCTCCCTCATCCCTGTCATGGGAGGCCTGGCACTGTGCACGGCCACAGAGATAAGCTTCAATGTCCTGGGGTTTTCGGCTGCATTGTCCACTAACATCATGGACTGGTGAGTCAGGAAGAGCATGGGGACACATGGTATGATTGGGATGGTGGACATTTAAGTTCAGATTAACCCAGAATTACATCTCACAGTTCAAAGCTGGACACATCTGATGCTGCCTTTTCCTAAATACCAAACGCCTCATATCCCAATAAGGTAACCTTTTCTAAAAAAAAAAAAAAAAAACCACAACAACTAGAATTTGACAACATGTGGTCTTAGTATTAAAAAGACTCATTGCCGGGAGGACACGGGTAACTAACAAATGCCAAATGCCCTTGTGGGGAAATGCCTCTACGTTCAGCTAAACAAAGGGGAAGAGGCCGTCCGATGCCTAGAACAAAGGGGCACTTTCTGGTCCGTGCCAGGGCCATGAGAGGCCGTGCCCACAGGGGCAGCCAGTGTCAAGTGCCAGACGAAAAGCACCACCTGGGAGGTTCCTTGTCCTGCAGCAGAAGGGGACATATGTTACGTTCTCGGTTGCTCTTTGGATTCTTGAGAGCAGGCATTCTGTATCCTGTATAGGCCATTGTGATGAGGTCCACGCTGAAGCCGTGGCTAGCCCTACTCTTTGAGAAGTAGTGATGGCTTCTAGGTCTCCTGTTTCTGGGAAAGAGAGGAAACAGACACATGGGTGTTTATTATTGCCTTTCCTGTTTAAGTCAGACAGGCTTGCCCTGAGGTTTTCAATACTAGGGCCAAGTGAAAATTTAAAAGTCACCTTTAATTTCATTTTGACATTTAGATGTATTTCCTTCCGGCTTTTTCCCCCTGTGTTTGTAGCTCCTAGAAATCTAATACAGCCTCATCATGCATTCGGCCTGTGCCTGGCTCTGCTCTCTCTGTGTGGTCCTGTGAGCATCCCATGCTGGCACCAGGGGCTCTCAGAAACCTGGGCCTTATGATTGCCTCCTGCAAATTAGTGACTCCTTGTCTACATGTGCAGGGAGTGTCTCTTCACATGAGCTCCATTGGAGTTTCTGACGCTGTGCAGGGTAAATGCCCACCAGAGAGACAGAGCCTGTGAGCATCCACAAGGGCCCTTGAGCCATGCTGCCAGGGTTGCCCACAAGATTGTTTTGATTTCTAGTTCCTTAGTGAGGGCTTTAGTCTTTTCTGGTCCTCAATGAAGTTTTTGCATCAAACAAAATGAAACAAACCTCTGCTTCTAGAGTCCAGAGAACAGAGTCCCTAGGGGAAGTGACAAGCCCTTTGGTTCCTGAGGAAGCTAAGCACTGTTTCATTTTCTCGTTGGCCATGTGTGTATTTCCCCTGTGGTTTGTCTGTTCCGTTCAGGAATTTTGTCCATTGTTTTTTCACTGGTGTCTTCATGAGCTTAGACTGTTTTGTTCACTTTCTTCCATGTGTTGAGTCCTCAGGTGTCCAGCCTGTGGCAGTTACTGATTTTTGGGGACTCTTGGCTCAAGGTGAGGTTTTATGCAGCACTTAGGTCAGGATTCTCTGACCTCTAAGATCTGGGTGACCTCAGGCACATCACTCAATCTCTGAGTACCTCAGTTTACCCTTCTGTAAAGGGGGCCATTCATGGAGTCCCCCTCACAGTGAAACAACACCCAGGATATCTCCAGCATGGCCTGGCTCCTAGCAGACATGCAGGGCCATCATTGCTTAGGAGGAGGCAGACACGAGGTCCCTTTGAGGTCCACGCTAACTTCTTGCATCGCCAGCTAACCTCTTCTTTTCTTTATTCTAGTTTGCAAAATGTTTTTTCAAAAAAACTCCTGAGCGGGGACAAATACAGGTTCTCGTAAGTATTGTTAGCCCATGAAACTCCCCAACTTTTAGGCCTGAGAGGACCTTTTGCCCCTTTGAGCTTTCATAATCCACGTAGACCTGACACTTTTCCCGCTTGGGCTTAAATGGCTTTTAAAACTACTTTGTGGAGGGGGTGCTTGGCTGGCCCAGTCAGAGGAGCAGGTGACTCTTGGTTGCAGGGTGTGAGTTTGAGCCCCATGTTGGGTGCAGAGATTACTAAAAGAAAAAAGAAAAGAAACTTTGAAGAATAAATAAATAAAAGTGCTTTGTGGAAACTTGGAAGAAAAACCCCATCTGTTTCCAGCTGCCTTTTAATCTGCGGTAGCCACGCAGACTGGCCATCACACACAGGCCCTCCCTGTCCCCCAGGACAAAACAAACTTGTCACGCACTGGGTACTCTAGAGCTGCCTGCCGGAGGCCTGGCCTCTGCCATGGAGAGAGGCCTTCAGGTCCCTGTGTTGCCCCTGCAGGGCGGCAGAGCTGCAGTTCTACACCAGTGCCGCAGCCGTGGCCATGCTGGTTCCCGCCTGGATCTTCTTCATGGTGAGTGTCAGGACACCACCTGGCGCCTGGGCTGCTGTTTACCTGTAGTGATAGTGACTTGGGAGCAGGACGCTTTAACTTTCCAGATCATGTGGATAGCTCCTTGGTGTCATGGCTTTGCTGCATTGTTCACAAAGTTTCAGCAATGTGCCCTTGAGGCAAAGGCAGAGAAAGTGGAAGCCAAACCATGTACGGGTCTCTGACATGGGCTTCTGCATGTAGAGGCCAATCTGTAGCTGTGGGAGTTTCCTGAAATTTTTGTGTGAGGGTTTCTAGACTTGTTTCTTTCTTTTTTTTTTTTTTTTTTATGATAGTCACAGAGAGAGAGAGAGAGGCAGAGACATAGGCAGAGGGAGCCGGAGAAGCAGGCTCCATGCACCAGGAGCCCGACGTGGGATTCGATCCCAGGTCTCCAGGATCGCGCCCTGGGCCAAAGGCAGGCACTAAACCGCTGCGCCACCCAGGGATCCCTGTTTATTTCCATTTTAAAATAACATGTGCAAATAAATAAAATAAAATAAAATGTGCCTTAGCTATAGAGCAATGAACGGGCAGGAGTATATAAACAAGAAAGTCTGTCTCCTGATCTCTCCTGGACCCACTCCTTCCTACAAAGTTCCCTTCCAGACCTGTCTACATGGCTAGAAACATACTCAAATATACATGTATGTAGTATGATTCCACTAGTGTTATAAAAGTATATATATATATATATATATATATATATATATATGCGCAGATCTTTCTTTTTTTTTTAAACACAAACAGAACTGGGCTGTTTTGTCCTTTGTGCTCTGAAGTGTGGCTGTGCCCGATTTGTCACTGCCTCATCAACAGACACCTGACTGCTTGGTGCATTTCATACAGAACAAGGAGTTTCTTGTGTTATGTCGTTAGCAGATGAGATTGTTTCTGTAGGATACATTTTTGGAATTGGAACAATTGATTGAAAGAATGTGCATACCTGAAAATATTTTTATTGTGGTAAAATGTACATAAACATAAAATTCACCATTCCAACCATTTTAAAGTGTACATCAAATATGTCCACATTGTCGTATAATCACCATCACCATCTGTTTGTAGACTTTCACTGTGTCCCCATGAAACAGTAGCTTCCCATTTCCCTCATGGGGGAGGCGAGACTCTGCTTGTCCCTGTTAGGGTCCCTGGCGGGGCCATTAAGCGGGGACGAGCCCCCAGACTGATTTAACATAAGCTTCACATGACACGGGGGCCCCGAGGAATCCGAGATCCAGAGGAGGGGCACAGCAAGCCTATGTGCTCACCTGCAGGCTGAGCAGGGAGAGGGGACTGCAGGAGGGCAGTGGCGTGCTGGCTGCAGGCAGATGGGGACAATGTTAGCAGGGCCCGCCCAACTCTCCGTCTCTGGCAGTGAGTGTATGTATGTCTTTCCTCCCACTGCATGGGCGTCCTCCACGGGGTCCTGTCTCCTGCTTCTCGGGGAGAAAAAGGGAGGTCAGAGCCCTTCTTGCTCTTGCTGTTTTTTTTTTTTTCCTCTTGCTGTTTTTTAAGGGTCTTCAGACCAAAGTAATCCTGATGCCAAAGTGACATATTTGTGTTCTGAGCTCCTTCACCCCCGGCCCAGCCCCCAGCACCTACACTGTAGTTGGATCCGTAAGGATACAGGTCCTTCAGACAAGTAGAATCCTGTGGGATTTGTCCTCTGGGGACTGGCTTATGTCACTGAGCATGTTGTCCTCAAGGACCATCCACGTAGCAGGTGTCAGCACTTCCTTCATTTTTTCTTTTTAAGATTTTATTTATTCATGAGAGACACACAGAGAGAGGCAGAGACACAAGCAGAGGGAGAAGCAGGCTTCATGCAGGAAGCCCGATGTGGGACTTGATCCCGGGACTCCAGGATCATGCCCTGAGCCAAAGGCAGACGCTCATCTGCTGAGCCATCCAGGTGTTCTCAGCACTTCCTTCTTTTTAAGACTGAGGACCATTCCCTGTGTTGTTGGGCCATGTTCTGTTTGTCCACCCATCAATGGACACCTGGGTTGCTTCCACATTTTGGCTCTGGTGAAAAGTTCTGCTGTGAATGTGAGCATGCATATAAGACACTGCTTAGTTCTTTTGGGCTTATATCCAGAAGTAGGGTTGCTGGTTTTTGCAGTAGTTCTCTGTTTAACTTTTTGAAGACCAACCAAACTGTTTTCCAAAGTAGCAGCACCATGTTACCTTCCTGCCAACAGTGCACGAGGGCTCCAACTGCCCTACAATCTTGCCTGCACTTGTCATTTCTGTTCTTTCAGTTTTGGTGGTAGCCATCCTAATGGGTGTGAGATAGTCTTCTGTTGTGCTGTTGGTTTTTATTTCCCTGATGATCAGTGATGTCGAGCACCTTCTCATGTGCTTATTGGCCATGTGTATATGCATGTTTAGAATGTTGGTAGATGCTGTTTGGTTGTCACCCCAGAAGGCTATTTTCAGAGCACTCCTCAGCAACAGTTTACCCAGATTACTAGGTACCTGTGACCCCACTCTTTTCTGTGGGTGAGCAGTGAAAGGAAGACTGGCACCAGCAGAGCATTGTTTTTGTTCTGGCACATAGGACTTGCCAGTGATCGGCAGAAGTGGGAAGAGCTTCAGTTACAGCCAGGATGTCGTGTTGTTGCTGCTGATGGATGGTGTTCTGTTCCACCTACAGAGTGTCACGGCCTATGCCCTCATGGGTAAAATTTCCCCTGTGACTTTCAGGTAAGCATAGTAGCTTCCCGAGAGATGAAACATGTCCAGGTAATTTGCAAAGAACAAGGATTTATTTTATTTTATTTCACTTCATTTCATTTCATTTTATTACTTTATTATTTTTTTAAGAACAAGAATTTAAATCTAGGTATTGGGGATCCCTGGGTGGCACAGCGGTTTGGCGCCTGCCTTTGGCCCAGGGTGCGATCCTGGAGACCCCGGATCGAATCCCACATCGGGCTCCCGGTGCATGGAGCCTGCTTCTCCCTCTGCCTATGTCTCTGCCTCTCTCTCTCTCTCTGTGGGACTATCATAAATAAATAAAAATTAAAAAAAAATAAAATAAATCTAGGTATTGTTATAAAAGGTATTTGTGATTGTCAGATGCTGAAGTGAGGGTCGTGGCCTCAATTTGTGATCACTAGGTTGTGCTGTTTTGGTGCTATTTGAAATACAGGGAAGCGCGTGACATAAATCTTTAGGGAACTTGCTTCCACAAGGAGTCTACACATTAGCATGGAAACTGTCCAGAGTGGTTTGAATATTTTCTGTCTGGACTAGAATGTCAGTACAACTGCCTGTGATGCTGGAATGTTCTTCTTCCGGCTTCTCAGCGGGGGAGCCATGAGCACCTGTGGTGTGGTGAGTGCAGTAAGCAACTGAATTCTTTTTTTTTTTTTTTAAGATTTTATTTATTTATTTATTTATTTATTTATTTATTTATTTATTTATTTATTTATTTGAGAGAGAGAGAGAGAGAGCACGCAAGCGAATAAGCAGAGGGAACAGTAGGAACACCTGGATGGCTCAGCGGTTAAGCCTCTGCATGTGGCTCAGGGTGTGATCCTGGGGTCCCAGGATCAAGTCCCATATCGGGCTCCCTGCATGGAGAGCCTGCTTCTCCCTCTGCCTATGTCTCTGCCTCTATGTCTGTGTCTCTCATGAATAAATAAATAAAATCTTCAAAAAAAAAAAAAGCAGGGGAATAGTAGAGGAGAGGCAGAGGGAGAAGCAAGAGTCCTTGCTGAGCAGAGAGCCAAATATGTGGCTTGATCCCAGGACCCTGTGGTCATGACCGGAGCCAAAGTCAGATGCTTAACTGACTGAACCAGCCAGGTGCCCCAAGGAACTGAATTCCTAATTTTATCTATGGCTCCCATATGGCAGTCTTAGGCTCTCATATTGGAGGCACAGCCCTGGAAACTGAGAGGTGAGCCAACGGCCTCACTTGCTTCTCTTCATTTCTGTAACTGGAAGCGTTTAATGAAAGCACCATTTCAAGACTGCAGTTTTAAGTAACAAGCAGAAAAGCATGAGCTCATGTCACCGGTGGGCCTAGAAACTAACCTCAGCAGCTTTGGCCACATCATGTCCTAGAAGTCAGTGGGGCCTTTTTTTTTTTTTTTTTTTTTTAAACTTCTGAACTGGTGGCAGAGAAGTGGAAGTATCTGCAGTTGTGAAGACCTTGGTGGGCTGGCTTGAATTGCACTGCTCGAAAGCCTCACTCATCAGGCTTCGCCAGTCAGACCTCTTGTCTCCCTGTGGCCTTTCTAGGGCAGCTCTCACTCCTCCCTACTCACATTGGTCTGGCCTGGGTCAGTGCAGCAGCTGTCTGGTGCACCAGTCACATTCTGCATTCTGGAGGTCCAGGGCTGGAGCCAGTGCCAGGGCTGGAGCCAGTGCTGTGCCCTGACTTGGGACTCAGGTAGTCCTCTTGTTTCCTGGGTCCTGAGTGGGAAAGGTCTGCAAAATGTTGATTTTTATGTTCTCCTGAAGCCCATGGCAGTAACTGTCTCTGTCACAAGTCCTAGTAACCATTTGGGGCCAGGAATTATCCCAAAAACTTTTTCAGCAATTGTTAGTGATAGTTCAAAAAAGGGCAAAAAGCAGAAAACCAATTCTTTTTACAGAAGATAGCTTTTTTGTGTATTTCATTCATATCATAAGAGCAATACTTAACTCATGATAGGAAGTTTGGAAAAATACAAAAAGTAAAGCATAAGTAGTCCACAATTCCCAGACACAAGCACTGTTAACAGTTCAATGTATTTCACATTAACTTCATTTTTATGGGGTCTTTGCCTTACTCGCACGGTGCTATTTTCACTGATCAGACAGTCTCCTTGAGAGGCTGGGTGTTGTCCCTGTGGCCTCTCTGGGGCAATTCCAGCTCCTCCTGGCCCATGTCGGTCTGGCCCTTGTAGTAAGGGCACTATAGCCATCTGCAAAGTCCTCTTGTTCTTTAGACGCAAGCTGAACTATTTAGGGGCAAATGTTTACTTAAAAGTATTTAAAAAAAAAAAGTATTTCGGGGCAGCCCAAATGGCTCAGCAGTTTAGCGCCACCTTTGGTCCAGGGCGTGATCCTAGAGACCCGTGATCAAGTCCACGTCGGCTCCCTGCATGGAGCCTGCTTCTCCCTTGGCCTGTCTCTGCCTCTCTCTCTCTCTCTCTCTCTCTCTCTCTCTCTCATGAATAAATAAGTAAAATCTCTAAAAAGTAAAAATAAAAAAATAAAAGTATTTCAGTCTCAGAAAAGGATGAAGCATATAAAACAAAATATTTAGGGAAGCATATAAAACAAAATATTTAGGGAATATGGCTGTTCATTATAACCCGTCCCTGCTTCTCTGTTTGACACCTTTCCCAATAAAAAGAAAGGAGGAAGGAGCCAGCAAGGGAGTGCCCCTGGCCTGTGCAGGTGGGTGGGCAGGTGGGTCAAACCCAGGCCGTAACCCCCTGTCATTGCAGTGTCGCCAGCACCGTGAAGCACGCCTTGTCCATTTGGCTCAGTATTATAGTGTTCGGCAACAGAGTCACCAGCCTGTCAGCCATCGGCACCATCCTCGTGACAGCTGGTGTCCTGCTCTACAACAAAGCCAAGCAGCGCCAGCGGGAGGCCATGCAGAGCCTGGCTGTGGCCACCAGCCGGACACCAGAGGATGAAGGGGAGCCATTGACCTCCAAGGACCTCAGACCACACCACTGAACTCTGGAAGCCTCGGCAGGTGCCCAGGGCCCCGAGGCGCCGCCCACTGCTGCTGTCCTCCTCGCTGACACGGACATCCAGCCTCCTGGGCCAGTGGGGTGCAGGAGGCCGAGGGATGTGCCGCCTTCCCTGCTCCTTTCTTGGGTTTTCAGTGAAAACCAATGGGAACTAGAACAGGGATCCCAAATGTCAGCTTCCTGGGGTGGAGACCAGAGCCAGCTGCTGCTGAGCCATGGCCACGTAATGTGAAAACCCCCTCCTGCTGACCCTGTGGTGAGCACAACTGGCTTCTGCACGCTCTCACCAGCACGCAGAGCTGGCTGCAGCGAGCCCAGGTCCTAGTTCCTCTGTGGGTAACAGCCACAGCTGCCAACATGCACCATTCCTGCTGCTTGGTGCTTGCCATTGGAGGCCAGTGAAGGCATGCCCTGCCCTTCCACCATCTGGGGAGACTGCCCTGCTGAGACAGGCCGAAGTGCCCACTGCCTGGGTTGGAGGCCACAGCAGCCAAGTGACCACAGAGTCAGGAAATAATGGAAAGGGAACAGAAGGGCACAGTAATAAGGGTCCCTGCTGCTGACAGCAGGCTGTTGGGCCCTTGCCTTCCTGCCCTCCCACCCAAGGTGTCCTCTCCACCCCAAAACTCCCAACATCCACTACCACTTAGGGAAAGGCCACTTGTGGAAGGGAAGGTGCCCTGCCCCTTCCAGGATCTCTGCTGCACTAGGCCCCCTACCTCCTGAGGGTCCCAACCCTTACCCGTGGCAGGCCTTCAGTCAGGGACCCCTAATGTAGTGATTGCTGGTTCCAGAGGTGGAGGACAGACATGTGGCATTTACTCAGGACAGGGATATACTGACATTCCTTTTTGTTTTTTTGGGCCCCTGTGTGTAACCTAGAGGTGCTCCTGCCATCATCCTGCTCGTCAGGGCCCACACCATACTTTGTCTTGTGGACAAGGGTGTTAAAGGTTTCCCTCATGAATGAATGAACAGGGAAGCACTGGGAAGAATATTTGGAGTGTTCACAGTTTTTGTCACACTGCACTGAAAATGACAGTGAAGTTTTTAAAGAAGGAAGCAGGTGGCTTCTGGAAGGCATCCCCCACGGCAGGTAACCCACACTGAACCTGCTGCCTGGCTTGGCCTGCTTCCCACCTCCCAGAACAGACAGTCCACCACACTGGGTATCGGAGTCCTCTGTTGAGTTCAGGCTCCTACCCTCTTCACTCTGTTCATCTCACATCCTGGTGGGATTTCTGATTGAGGCGCAGTCTGCTACCAGCCAGGCTTTGCAACCTCTCCATGGTGACAAGCTCAAGCACTGGGGCATGTCACCTACAGCCTGACTTCAAGGACGGAGGACAGAGGACATAGTCTCTGAGTCCTGCCCCCACTGAGTGAACCAGCCAACATGAGTGCCTCAGGCACTAATGGCTCCCTCATCTGATTTCCTCTCCCTGTTGTTCACATCCTTGGCTCCCATCATCTCTTCCCTGGTTTTCCAGTTGGCTTCTCGACTGGAAAATGTAAAAATAGGCCCTCCTAGAGATCAATCTCTTGGACACAAAGAGCAATAATCACGTCTCATTAACTTCTGCCTACTTGAAAAAGCTTGCCATGATGATGGGTTAAAATTAGACCTTTAAAACTACAACCTTTTTTTTTTTAATCAATGCCCATTATTTTCCGCCAAAAACAAATAAAAAACTACAACCTTTTTATGAAGTTGACTTCCTGTGTCTAGAGGACAGGCAGGTGTGTGCTCGCCTGCATACCAAGCTCACCTCCACCATGAAGCTGTTTCTAATGAGACTTTCCCCAGGTTTCTATCCTCTTTCCTCTCTGCTTCCTTCAAAAACAACAGCGAAGAGGACTCACTGGAGGTGGATGGGGTGGCAGGATGTGCGTGGATCTGTGAGGACCAGGGGAAAGCACAGCTTCCACAGGGCCGTGCCCCTGCCCTTCAAGAATGTGGCTTCCATGGCCAGCTACTGATGGGATGTGAGCAGAGATCACATCTGCGGTCGGTCATCCTGCTGCAAGATGATTTCTGTTGCCTGTCTCATGGATGTGGTTATTTGAGTGTAACCAGATGGGCAGCGCCTGCTTCTGAGCCTCATGAGAGACCTGGGTCCAAGTCTCCTATGGAACCAACCACCCTGCACGTCACCTGCCCTGTCTCCTCACAAGTGGCTGTCTGCTAGTTTTGATTTTCCAGATTCTTGGATCAGAAACAAAATGAAGATTTTTTTTTCTAAAGTATTACAAAACGAGGTAATTTCCAACAAAACTGCTTTTGAGACATTGCCTCAGAACACAAGCTATGGTCAGCACTGCCCTCGCCTGGGGCTTACGTTCCTTCTTCCATTGACTGGTCTCCGCCCTGAAGCCGTCCACATCCTGCATGTCCAGGACAGTCCTGCCAGGAGACAAAACCCATGGCCTGTCTTGGCCATTTGTTGAATGAATGTATAGACGTATGTTTTTTTATTAGCTCTATGTAGTAGTGTTTATAGTATGTTCTTATTGAACCATTGAAGACATGCTTGTATCAACATTGACACTGGGTGTCATCACTTACTTGGTCATTTCCTACTATGTCCATGGTTGTTGTTTGTGCCTTTGCAAAAAACACTTCAAACAGGTCTCAAGTCAGGTTATCTGCTACCTACATCGCTATCTAGAGATGTACATATGTCTGGCTTTCAATGAAACTTCCACTGAAGAGCATAAAAAATTAAAAAAAAAATCCAAGTCATTATTTCCCGTATATCAGCATTAAAATAATCTGCCCTGGGAAGCTGAGAAGATTCTTGCACAATCCAAAATGTGTCTTTATTTTGAGAAAAATATACATGGTGAATCAGAAACGGTCACGTGCTGCACAAAAAACATCGGCCAAGTGCAGTTCTGCTTGTAACCTCCCCTGGAAATGCTCTTCCCAGAACCAGTGGGTTCTGGGCAGGCCAATAGGGTTGACATGTGTACCACGGGGATTTTTACGTCCGAGTGATGTGCTTTCCCAAGGCCTGAAAGTATTTTCATGATTTCCCTGGGTTTGAATAATTAAACAAGGATATTATTGCAGACAAAAATATTTTTTTGCCTTTGACCAACATCATACTAAGATCTTCATTCTTTCACAAAAACTGTACATGCTCTGGTTGGGTCCTCTTCATTTCCTTAGTTTATAAAAAAGAATGCCCCAGCTACCCGGTGAATCTGCCTGTTTCCCTCTGTCCTGGCTGAGGAGCCAAGAGCAGAGGTGAGCTTGTGCTAACGACCCTGCTGCTTGGTTGAAACCTTTCAACTTTGCTGTCTCTGAAGAATTTCTTCCAGTTTTCCTGAGGATTCCGATTCAGGGATTCATGGGCACTGGATCCTTCCCCAGATTCCAAACGGAATTGCAAACTATTCTAACTGGTTTGAAACAAAACCAAACCACTTTTAAAAATATTTTTATTTGGGGGATCCCTGGGTGGCGCAGCGGTTTGGCACCTGCCTTTGGCCCAGGGCGCGATCCTGGAGATCCGGGATCGAATCCCACATCAGGCTCCCGGTGCATGGAGCCTGCTTCTCCCTCTGCCTGTGTCTCTGCCTCTCTCTCTCTCTCTCTGTGACTATCATAAATAAATAAAAAATTATTAAAAAATATATTTTTTTATTTGGGGGACACCTGGATGGCTCAGTGGTTGAGCGTCTGTCTTTGCCTCAAGGAGTGGCTGGCTCGCTGCATGAATCCTGCCTCTCCCTCTATGTCTCTGCCCCCCCCCCCGCCGTGTCTCTCATGAATAAATTTTTAAAATTTTTATTTTAAAGCAATCTCTAAACCCAATGTGGAGCTCAATCTACAATCTCGAGAGGAAGTCACATGCTCCACCAACGGAGTCCGCCAGGTACCCCAAATCTCCGCACCCCTCCCCTTTTCATTTGAGTAAAACATACTTATTGGCTGTTTCTAGTCTGTGTACAGATGCGTGAGTTGAGTCTGAACCTGCCGAGGGGGCGTCCTGGGCCCTAGGTCCGGGAGGGCCTGTCACCGGACCTTTCCCACACTGAAAAACTTGAAAATCACGTCCGTGATTGTCTACATCAGAACCAAGGTGTAGGGGCAGCCCCAGTGGCTCAGCGGTTTAGCGCCGCCTGCAGCCCAGGGCGTGATCCTGGAGACGCTGGATCGAGTCCCACGTCGGGCTCCCTGCATGGAGCCTGCTTCTCCCTCTGCCTGTGTCTCTGCCTCTCTCTTTCTCTGTCCCTATGAATAAATAATAAATAAAATCTTTAAAAAAAAAGAACCAAGGTGTATTTGCTTTACACCCAACAAAACTGAGAATGGACAGCGCGCTGTGTTCAGACGATCAGCACTGTTGGACTCGTGACGTTCTGGTCTCCGTCCTCCACCGGGGATTCGGGTTCTGCACCAACACAGTGGGCGCGGACCATGTAAGTGCATCCTCGCGGCCCTCCTGACCCCGGAAGCCGAGGACGGCAGTCTTCATCCACCGCCTCTCCCACTTCAGGTACCTTCCCTATAGACGCCCGTGCCCTCCCTGTCCCTGGGGCCCTTTCCAACCGCAAAGCCTGGGAGGTAGGAGCAGGGACCGGGCGGGACCGGAGAGCTGGGGGAAGCGCTTGGGTCGGCCACTGCCGCGCAGGCTCCGGGACCGGAAGTGACGTGAGGCCGCGCGCCGGATGTCCTCGTCGCGAGGGGCGGCGGGCTACGCCCCCGTGCGCCATCTGTCCGCGCCGACGCAGGAAGTGGGGACGCTACTGGCGCGCGCCGGGCGCTGTTTCTCCTCAGGCTCCGGGACCGGCGGTAGCGGCGACGGTAGCAGCAGCGGCAACAGCACAGGGGTGAGTGGCGGAGGGCCGGAGCGGGCGGCAGGCGCAGCCGCCTCCCTGAGCTTTTGGGACCAAGCGGACCCCGCGCGGCGCTGGGCGTTGAGGCGGCGTCGGGCCCGAACCCGGGCTCGTGGCGGCCGAGCCGAGGGACGAGGGTCCCAGCCGCGGCCGCGTCGCAGCGCCCCACGCCGGCCGCCCGGACCCTCCTGACGTCAGACCTCGGGTGCCGGGGGCCGGGGAGCGGGCTCCGCACCAAGGGGCTGTCCTGCCACCGGGGCGCGGGGCGGCCCCCACCGGTCCGGCAGCTCCCCTCACGCCCCCCTGACGGCGGCCCCCCCTGACGGCCGCCCGGACTACGCCCACTCCCATCCCGGTAGTTGCCCTCACACCCGCCCCGACGACAACCCCTGCCGCCCGGTCGGCGCCCCCGCAGCCACACTGCCAGCGTCCTGCCCTTGCTCCAATTCTCTTTTCTTTGCAGTGTCTTAACTCCAATGGGTGATGAAAAGGACTCTTGGAAAGTGAAAACTTTAGATGAGATTCTTCAGGAAAAGAAAAGACGGAAGGAACAAGAAGAGAAAGCAGAGATAAAACGCTTAAAAAATGTAAGCCATGTTTTTTAAGTAAGTGGTTTTCTTAAAGGAGATTTAATTTCTTTGCCCTCGTTTTTCCATTAGAACAACGCTTCTTCGGTGAAGTTCTTTTGTACTTCCAAATGTCTCAGGTGAGCCCAAAATCTATTCTAAAATTAACAAAAACATTCAAATACTCAGTTTACATTGAAGACACGTTGATAACGTATTACAGCTGTGTGTAGATGGCAGGATCTACATGGAGCGTGAAGTACTTTGAGCCTAAATTCATTAGTGCTATTGGACTAAATTTTCTCATATCAGTATTTCTGTGTTTGTGGCACCATCTCTAAGTTTGTTTAGGATAGTAGGAAGTTACGTTGAAATTAATATTCTGTCTTTTCCCTTTTTGGTTTGCATAACATATTTAGAGATACTTTTGGTAATTTTGAAAGGGATATTGGCAGAAGTAGCTTCTGATAATGCTAGTCACCCTTAACTATTTCTGAGATAGCACAAAGTATTTGGCATAAAATATGCTTTAAGGCTCAATTTCAGGTTTTATAAACAAGTAGCATACTTGGCAGAGTCTTAATATTCCAGATCCTGTATACTGGTTTCAGATTTTTCATCTCAGGTTCTGAACTTACAGAGTTTTAATCATAACGTTGTATGATTTGAGTGAATGTTTTTTATATTTCATAACATTGGTCCTTTCAAAGTATATGTGAAACTTTGTTTTTGGATGTTGGCAAGGTTTGATTATCATTAAAAAGACACTTATCTGTGAGGAAAATGACTTTCTCTTGCTTCTTAGTCTGATGACCGGGATTCCAAGCGGGATTCCCTTGAGGAGGGGGAGCTGAGGGACCACCGCATGGAGATTACAATACGGAATTCGCCATACAGAAGAGAGGACTCCATGGAAGACAGGTGGGGGTGAGGTGCACAATGAAGAAGGTGTCCAGGCTACACATGTGCTTCACTATGGAGGCAGGATCGGTCCCACCATTACTTTGAAACTGTAGTCGTTTTCTTTTTTATTTTATTTTATTACTTATTTGTCAGAAGAGGGAGGAAGAGCATGTGAGCACAAGCAAGAGGAATGGTAGGCAGAGGGGAAGCAAACTCCCTGCTGAACAAGGAGCCCCATGTAGGACTCATCCCAGGACCCTAGGATTATGACCTGAACTGAAGGCAGAAGCTTAACTACAGTGTCCCCTTAATCGTGACTTTAGGTGTACCTCACAGTTGAGATGGACTCCGCATGGTATCAGTTGCTACCTCACATCTCTTATGAAAAGATTGAATGAGGGGTGACTCAGTGGCTCAGTTGAAGTGTCTGCCTTCAGCTCAGGTCATTATCTCAGAGTCCTGGGATCAAACCTCACATCAGGCTCTCTGCTCAGCAGGGAGTCTGCTTCTCCCTCTTCCTTTGCCCCTTCCTCTCCACAAGTGGTCTGTCTCTCACTTTCTCTCAAATAAATAAAATTTTTTAAAAAGAAGGAAAAGATTGAGTGTATATCCCTTTCCTTGCAGTTGTCCTTTAGTCAAATCTACCCCATTCACAGACTACGTTTATTTATTCTTTATTACTTTTTAAGATTTTTATTTGGGGGGGGGGGAGTGTGTGAGCAGAGGGAGGGGCAGAAGCAGAGAAGGAGAGACACACCTCACTGAGCAGGAAGCCCGACGTGGGGCTTGATCCCAGGACTCTGAGATCATGACCTGAGGTGAAGGCAGACATTTACAACTGAGTCCCCCAGGCGTCCCTCCCAAGGTACATTTACATAATTGTGCTGTGTGCTTTTGATGAGTAAAATCACTGCCTAAAATTGTACACAGATAAACCACACTACAGTACTGAAGTATATTAAGCAAGGCCTGTGGGCAGAAACATTTAGAAAAATGTTCTAACATTTCTTCCTGCACCACTTGATTCCTTCTTTTTTTTATTATTATTATTTTTTTACACTTGATTCCTTCTTGTATCCATCTTCAGCGCCAAATTATCCATCAAATAATTAAAGCCAACCTAACCAGAAATTAGGAAACAGACATAGATCAAGAAGTCTCCCAGGATTTTGGTCATATAGGCAGTTGAAGATATCATTGAGGGGCATTTGGGGGTCATTAAATTACCATAATATCTTTTTTTTAAACAGCATTGTTGATGTATGAATGATAAATTACATATATATGAAGCGTGCAGTTTGATGTATCCATGTACACTTGTGTGGTTGTCACCGTAATCAGGGTAATGAGCATGTCCATTGCCCTCTAAAGTTTCCTCAGAGAGACGTCGTTATACATACACTTTGGTTTTTCACTTATACTTTTGATTTGAGTCTGTATTTAATAAGCAGTCTTGGCTTAAGTTTTGTAGTGTCCTGTTTAAAAGGATGGTTTAGATTAAACTTTTTTGTATTCTGAACACTGCATTTTTCTGGGTTGGAGAAGCTCCATAGTGCTGTGATGTTCCTTGCACTACTTTCTTTACTATGATGTGACGCTGTTGTGTCTTATTTCAGAGGAGAGGAAGATGATTCTTTGGCTATCAAACCACCACAACAAATGTCTCGGAAAGAAAAAGCTCATCACAGGAAAGATGAAAAGAGGAAAGAGAAACGTAGGCATCGTAGCCATTCAGCGGAAGGGGGTACAGAAGCTTTATTTTTTAGTTTTTATTTATTTGTATCATGTTCAAGAATGGTCTGTTTCCTATATCATGATCTGCTGCTTTCTCCATAGCACAACTGAAAGAGAAGAAAAAGTGAAATTTTAGTTGAAAGCATAAATATTTTGTGGATCACTCTGTTTCATTTTCCTTCTGATGTTTTTTCCCCCCTTGTATGTTTTGGGTTAGTTTAAATGTAATTCTGTCTTAATTCAACAAATATAGGGGATATATTTGCAATATTTATAACAATTCAGTGTTGAATTAATTTAACTGGGGATAAAAAAGGATGATTGATGGAAGTCCAGATGGGTTTGATGTCCTACCATTATTATTAAAGAGTTCTTTTATGTTTAAGACTTTATGTATTTATTCACAAGAGACACAGAGGTAGAGACATAAGCAGAGGGATAAGCAGGCTCCCTGTGGGGAGCCCAATACCAGACTTAATCCCAGGACCCCAGGATCACACCTTGAGCCAAAGGCAGACGCTCAACCACTGAGCTACCCAGACGTCCATATTAAGAGATTCTTAAGGATGTTTTTTTTTTTCTCTTCTTTTTTTTTCTCTTAAGGATGTTAATTAAGATGACTTGGCATCTAGTTTTAATCTCATTGTTTAAAACGGCAGTTGATGAACAGGGTTCTGTCCCACCAGATGGAAATCCACCAGAAGGAGCTAAGCTTTGTCCTGTGTTCTTTATGAACAGTGCTGTTTGTTGGTTTTTAATTATGAAACTAGTATACAGCTGACCCTTGAACAACACGGGCTCGAATTCCGTGGTCTATTTGTATACGGCTATTTTCTGGTAAACCCAGGATGGTACCACAAACCTTTTGCCTCCCTCCTTTTTAATATTTTATTTATTCATTCATGAAAAACATAGGCAGAAGAAGAAGCAGGTTCCCTGCAGGGAGCCCAATGCAGGACTTGATCCCAGGACCCCAGGATCACACACTCAACCCCTGAACCACCCAGGTGTCCCTCCTAATTCTTCTAATGATATCTCTTTTCTGTAGATTACAGGATTGTAAGAGTACAGTAGGGAACACATATAACACACAAAAGATGTGTTACTCAACTGTGTTGTCACTAAGACTTCTGATTAAGTGTTCAGGCTCAGTAATCCTTGGATTTCTGACTGCACTGGGTGTCCGTGCTCCTGCTGTGTGTTGTTCAGGGGTCAGCTAGTGTCCAATCATAGTTTAATACAGGAAATTGAAAGACAAGGCAAGAGTTACAATTCTATTCAGTCATAATCACGTTATTTTTTCCTTGTTTGTAGCCTCACTGCATTGGGTTTTAAGTCCTCATTGTTTTTTGTTTTTTTTTAAACATAAAATTGTGATAGTTTTTCCAAGTCATTAATTAAATATTCTTTTCTTCATGGGGTATTTTTAAATTAAGTTTTGGGAGTTGGACCCCTTTATGTGACACTCTCTTTCTCCTTAGGGAAGCACGCTAGAGCAAAGGAAAAAGAACGAGAGCATGAGCGCCGGAAGCGACACCGAGAGGAGCAGGATAAGGCTCGCAGAGAGTGGGAGAGGCAGAAGAGGAGGGAGATGGCTCGGGAACACTCCAGGAGGGAGAGGTGAGTGAACGCAATTTGCTAAGGAGCCTGAACTGAGCACTCTGATGGCCAGCAGCCCCGCAAAGTGACGAAAGACACACCTGGCAGCATAACACAGATGTGATGCAGAAGTGGTTTGGGAGCCCAGAGTCATGGTGCAGTATTGTAGGGTGGTGCTAACCAAGACATCTGTCCTGCGGGGATTGAGTTTTTACTTCATCTTTATTTATTTATTATTATTTTTTAAGATTTTATTTATTCATGAGAGGCGTGCGCACACGCGCACACAGGCGGGGGGAGGGGGCAGAGACACAGGCAGAGGGAGAAGTAGGCTCCATGCAGGGAGCCCGATGTGGGACTTGATCCCGGGACTCCAGGATCATGCCCTGGGCTGAAGGCAGGCACTCAACCGCTGAACCACCTAGGCGTCCCTTTACTTCATCTTTAAAGACAAATGGGTGTGGGTCTTCCTGAGAAAAAAATTGTGAAGGAAATGGAACTCTGTATGTTGATTTCCTACAGGTGGAGGCTGCTGGGGGAAGTACTTAGAGCAGGAGGACGGCCTGGCCATTGTGTCTCGAGACCCTGTATAAGAGTGTGATTTGTACCTGAAGGAAGGGGCATTGCTAGCAGGAGCTGGGTCTATTAACTCAGACGCAGGAGTGAAGTTTTGAGGCCAAATGCATAATGATGGAAAGGGAAAGGAAGGTAGAATAGGAAGAAGTGATCTTCATAGATCTTGTCAGCTATTGCCTGGTAAGGGGGAGGAGGAACTGTAAATACCTCTGAGCTTCGTACTTCAGGTTGGGGCATGCCTTGTGAGAAGGATAGGAGTACTATGTACTATGTTTTTGTTGCAGTACTGTGTTCGAGTATAGTAAGGCCCTCTCGGAGATAACCCATTTCATGTATAGAAATTCTGACACACACTCTGTGCCCAAGAGAAGTCTGACGTAGAGTGATTTCCTCATTTGCTCTGGGCAAGTATTTATTGAGGCCCTGCTCTGTACTAAGCTCTGTTCTAGGTGGCCTAAGCCAGGAAAACCAAGGAAATACATTGCTTAGAGTTCTCTGCATCATAGCAGAAATAGACTGTGGTTTTTTTCAAACAAGGAAATCCTAAAGACCTTGTAGCAGCCTGGGAGCTGAGACACCAGACTCTTAGACATTAGTCTCCAACTACACCTCTGTGTGTACTTGGATTCCGAAGAGAAAGCATCTGTTTAGCCCTAGATCTGTTCACATGGGCCAGTAGAAACCAAGTGTTCCAGATCAGCAAGAACTTGAAATGGAGCAACAGAAACTATACTCTGAAGAATGGAGAGAATTGATGAAAGATGAACAGAGCCTCAAAGGTCTGTGGGACAGCATTTTGTTCTAACATCCACGTAATTGGCAATCCCAGGAGAGAAGGAAGCAGCACAAAGATTTTTTTTTTTTTTGTATAATGAAAAACGTTTATACATTTAAGAAGCTCAGTACCCCCAGTAGGATAAATATAAAGTCAAATCAAAGTGAAACTGGTGAAGGACACCTGGTGGTTTAATGCTTGAGCGTCTGCCTTTGGCTCAGGGCGTGATCCTGGTCCCAGGATCGAGTACCGCGTTGGGCTCTCTGCGAGGAGCATGCTTCTCCCTCATTCTGTCTGTCTGCCCCTCTCTCTCTCTCTCTCATGAATGAATGAATGCTTCCTTTGTCTATCTGCCTCTCTATGTGTCTCATGAATTAATTAACTAGTTAAGCAGTGAAACTGGTTTCACTTTTCACAGAAGAAAATCTAGAAAGGCAGCGGGAGAAAAAATTACATAAAAGGGGGGCTTTAGTGTGATTGGTGGCTGACTTCTCAGAATCAGTGGGGGGCAGAAGGTAGTGGAATGGCATGGTCGCACTGCTGAAAGAAAACCTGGCAACTGGGAATTCTGTATCTAGCAAAACTGCTCTTCAAAAGTGAGGAGAAATAAAGATAAACTGGTGGAATCCATTGTTAGTAAGACCCACCTTAAATACTCAGAAAAGACCTTTGTTTTGAATGGAAATGACAGCAGAAAGTAATCCTATTCAGGAGGAAAGAGAAGCTCCAGAAATGGTAAAGGCACAGGTTAACATAACAGAATCTACAAATGTTCCTTATTAACCTAATAAGGTGCATGCTACTGTTGCTAGAACAACTACTAGGAAAATAACCAACAAAGTAGTACAAACAGGTATTAACATGACATTCTAAAAAATCCTTGTTTAAACCCAAAACAGGATCCCTGGGTGGCTCAGCGGTTTAGCACCTACCTTTGGCCCGGGGCGTGATCCTGGAGACCCAGGATCGGGTCCATTGTCGAGCTCCCTGAGTGGAGCCTGCTGCACCCTCTGTGTCTCTGCCTCTCTCTTTCTCTGTGTCTCTCATAAATAAATAAATCTTAAAAAGGGGGTGGGGGCAGAGAAACAGGACCTAAAAAGACAGAAAGAAGACATCAAAACAACAACAAAACTAAGTTCAGCCAAATCCGTAATTACATGAAACATGCAGTCGTTTCTATATCTCAGAGGGGTTCTTTGATAGCAAAGCAAGGTCCAGTATGTTGTCTGTAAGGAAGACCTCTTAGAGTGAAGGACAAAAGTAGGGCAAAAGTAAACGTGTGGACGGAGATGTATCATACCCACAGCAACCACAGAGCACCAGTGGCTCAGCAATAGGCAAGGCATCATAGTTCTCTAACAAGTCAGACCAGCACTGACACAGGCTTTCCAAAGACAGAAGGGTCTATACGTCAGAAAGAAGTGATGGTGGTGAAAGAGTATGTGCCTGACAGCAGAAAAAATACATGATGCAAAAACAAACAGCTGAAAGAAATAGGCAGTTCATCAAATCTAATTGGAAATTTCAGTCCCGATACTCTTGTTGATAGAACAACTAGACAAAACAAGGATGTAAGGTGTCTAGAAAGTAGCCTGTACCGGCTCAGTCTCACCTGCATACAGCACTCCATCCACAGCTGCAGAGTACGTACACACTTCAAGAGGGGATATTGTCCAACACAGATCACATGTGGTCCACACAACAAGTTTCAAATCCCAGAGAATTAAAATTGTACAAAGCACACCTTACCACAAAAGGATTAAAGTAGAAATCAACACAAAGCTGGGGAAATCCTCAACTTTGAATGTTCGGATATTCAACAGTCTTTTTCCAAATCACCCATGGCCCAAAGAAGAAATTAAAAGGAAAAGCAGGGGCACTGGGTGGTTTAGTCAGTTAAACGTCTGACTCTTGATCTCAGGGTCATGAGTTCAAGCCCTGCTTTGGGCGCCTCGCTGAGCATGGAACTAAAAAAAAAAAACTTGAACTGCAGGAAAAACACAGCATGCCAAAAGTTAGGGATACAGAAAAAGCCGTGTTGTAGAGTGAGATGTTTTGGTTTTTAAGCACTGATAAACAGAAAAGGAAATTGTCAGTCAGCATGTGTGAAAGCAGAAGAGAGAAGCAGGCTCAACCCAAAGCAAGCAGAAAGAATGTCCACAGAATCCCAAGCAGAGAAACAGTTTCGTGGGGCAGGCTAGAAGCTAGCCACAGATGGGCATGAGGGGCCATATCAGGTGATGGAAATGTTTTAAAACTGGCTTGTGATGATTACACAATTTTATAAATATATGAAAAATGGAATTCTGTGGTTGGATTTCATGTGTTAAATTACAGCTTTTTATTTTGCAACAGTTTGGACTCCGGGCACATACAGACAGTTCTAGAATCCCAGCCTTCTGCATGGTAACCTCTGATGGGCCCCAAGTTGGTACCAGTGATTGTACCACAGGCCTTGTTCCATTTTCACCATTCTTTATGCTCATTTCTGTTTGTGTGTACTGATACTCTTTTTTTTCTTTTTTAAAAATATATTAGCTTTTTTTTTTTTAAGATTTTATTTATTTATTCATGAGAGACACACACAGGCTCGTGGAGCCTGCCTCTCCCTCTGCCTGTGTCTCTGCCTTTCTCTGTGTGTCTCTCATGAATAAATAAATAAAATCTTTTTAAAAATAAATAAATAAAAAGCCCTTTATGGTGCACCTGAGTGGCTTAGTTGGTTAAGTCTCTGCCTTTGGCTCAGGTCATGCTCTCAGGGTCCTGTGATCAAGCCTTGTGTTGGGCTTCCTGCTCAGCGGGGAGTCTGCTTCTCCCTCTGCCACTCACTTTAATTGTTCTCTCTCTTTGTCAAATAAAATCTTTAAAGAGCCCTTTATGGATTGAACAACCTAAATGGCAATTTTTAAATTTCAGCAAAAAGCTCTTGGGGTAAAAAAAGAAAACTTTGTGTTTGCGGAGAGAGAGAGTTGGGCTGTGCTTGTTGCAGGGACCGCCTTGAGCAGCTGGAAAGGAAGCGGGAGAGGGAACGGAAGATGCGTGAGCAGCAGAAAGAGCAGCGAGAACAGAAAGAACGGGAGCGGCGCGCTGAGGAGCGACGCAAGGAACGCGAGGCCCGGAGGGAAGGTGTGTGGGGGCGCACTCTGCGGTTGGGGTGCTGTTCCCATGGGTGAGCTCAGGGCTGCATAGTGACCCTGAAGGATGAAGTGATCTGGATGGTGGCAGAGCCAAGTGGGGACAGGCCGTGGGGCTCAGGCTGGGGAAGGCCACAGTCCCTTGAGGTATGAGGTGAGGGTGTGCAGCCACAGGATCTTCCCAGGCCTGGTTCTGGACAGCTGCACCAGGTGCCACATGTCACTTGTGTCTGCTGCCCACGCTGGTTAGGCATAGGCTTGAAGAGGTAGGTGGTGGCTCTCTCTTTTCTGACCAATAGAGAAGATTCTGGAAGGTCCATGTGGGTCCTCAGGAAGAGCTCGCTGCCTCCAGGCCAGTGTGGCCAGGGCTAGGAGTACGTGTAGTGCGTCACCACCAGCCAGGGTGTGGGTGGGATCTGATCGAGGTTGGGCTCCGCTGGAGATGGTGCTGCCACGCCACCTCCCGCTGTGTTTGGCGCCCCAGTTTCTGCACATCACCGAACGATGAGAGAAGATTATGGTGACAAAGTGAAAGCAAGCCACTGGAGTCGCAGCCCGCTACGGCCACCTCGGGAAAGGTTTGAGCTGACGGACGGCCGGAAGCCAGGTGAGGGTGCGCAGAACCTCCTGGGGCCAGCCTGCCACAGCTCTCTGGTGACAAATAATCTAGCCCAAAATTCACTCTTTTTGTGCAATGAAATGATAGGCTCAAGTGTTTTCGTATTGTGAGGTGGGACCATCATTTGTGTGAAGCCTATTTGTTGGTGGGGACATTGGTTACAGGTCTTTGAGAGCAGTGTGGGTGAGCTGTGTTGTCCTACAGACCACAGTCTCTGCATGGAGCTGCTATCAGGTCTTGTTTATTGTAAAATGTTTTCCATGTTCACCTTTGATGGTTTGTTTCGTAAGTAAAAGAAGAGAAAATGGAAGAGAGAGACCTGCTGTCTGATCTACAAGACGTCAGTGATAGTGAAAGGAAAAGCAGCTCTGCCGAGTCCTCATCAGGTAACCACCGGCTCTGCTGCCACACGGGGAGGGCCCACCACCCCCTGCCATGCACTTCCAGCTGTTTTCTTCCTGAAGCGGAGTCGGGGTCAGGTTCAGAGGAGGAGGAGGAGGAAGAAGAGGAGGAGGAAGAGGAGGAAGAGGAGGAGGGGAGCAGCAGTGAAGAATCAGAGGAGGAGGAGGAGGAGGAAGAGGAGACGGGAAGCAACTCCGAGGATGCGTCTGGGCAGTCGGCTGGTGAGGAAGGCACAGGGCACCATGGTTTATTTGGTGTTTAGAAACGAGAGAAATCATTTGAACTCTTGATTTTAAAATATTTCCAAACAGAAAATCCTGTGGTATCTGGGACTCACATGAGACTCTAAAATTGATTATTTACAGTGGTTCTTGCTTTCCATTAGCTGAAGGAGATCCTGTTTGTGCCTCTAGAGGTTCTGGAGAGCCCTAGAAAGAGGCAGAACCCAAACGGGTGGTGCGGGGGCCTTGCAGGTCTGAGCAGACGTCCTCTCTGTCTTACAGAGGAAGTGAGTGAGGACGAGATGAGTGAGGACGGGGAGCGGGAGAGCGAGAACCACGTCCTTGTTGGTGAGCGGCATCCCTGTTGGATGTTCCTTCCCTCCACTGCCCCTTGGCACTGCAGCCCTTTCTGAAGCAAGTAGATCACCGTCTTGTGTGTGTAGCCCGACCCAGAGACATAAGCAGCCAACTCCCTGAGAGATGCGCTTGTGACTGTGGAGGGCCAGCATCCCTTCCTGGGGCCACACTGAGCATTGTCCGGAGTGTCACCATGGCTTAGATGTGGCAGGGAGGTGCCCTCAGGCCCTGGGACAAGTCCTGGGTGTGCTGCCTCTGAGCTCCTGCTCCAGTCAGCACCTCCTGGTGCTCACAGCTGAGCTGGTAAACCCCAAGACCCCAGCGCCCTCTGTCCAGGATGGTGGGATACGCAGCCTGTATACAGCATCCACATGCCCTCGCTGTTCCCCCTGTCCCAGGGCAGGAGAGGGGTGATGACGTTGCTTGTTCCTGGTTCCATAATTGGGTTTAATTTTTGAAGTTCCAGAGTCCCGATTTGATCGAGACTCCGGTGACAGTGAGGAAGGGGAGGAAGAAGCCGGTGAGGGCACTCCACAGAGCAGTGCCCTGACTGAAGGAGACTTCGTGCCCGACTCTCCTGCATTGTCACCCATTGAACTCAAACAGGAGCTGCCCAAGTACCTTCCTGCCCTGCAGGTCAGACGTCCTCCCCACCCCGGGGCTATTTCAGCTTTGCTGATTGTGGACAAGGCCGGTAGCTAAGAACACATGGGGGGCCCCTGGTGGGTATCTGCCACCAGGGTCATACATGCAGCCAGGGAAGCCAGGGCTTTGGAGATGGGGTGCTGTGGGTGCTTCTGCCCTTGGTGTTCTCTTATTGTGGGGCCTGCAGGCCAGGCCTGGCTCAGAAGGATGGGTCCTTCTGAGGTTTTGTCCATTTTGGTTTTATCTCTTAAGAAGCATATCCTCACTGAAGAAACTGGAGAGGAGGGCTACTCCTGGCACCACCCCCAGATTCCAGGCAGGGTTTACTGCATGTGTAAGTATGGCTGCAGCTGCTGCATCCTCACAATCTGCTGCTTTCCAGGGCTGTCGAAGCGTGGAGGAATTCCAGTGCTTGAACAGGATCGAAGAAGGCACTTACGGGGTAGTGTACAGAGCAAAGGACAAGAAGACAGGTGTGTACAGTGTTGGGGTGTCCCCCGAGGGGGGAAGGGGAGATGTGGCACAGAGAACCTATCCTCAGGCAGGAAGGAGTTTCTTCTGAGGAGCATTGTCCATGGGTGTACCCACTGCAATTTCTCGGGCCCAACCTGTCATGTTTACTGTGCACAGCCTCTCCGGGGCCATCTGCAGGCACTGTGACAGAGGCAGGGTGTCCTGCTGGAGCCACAGCCAGTTTTCAGGGACTGAGATCCAGGCGTGGCTGTCCTGGCCTTTGGCACCCTTGGTGTCAAGGTCATTGAACACAGTTCCAATTCTCCTGGGAGTCCTCCCTCCCCAGATGCCTGGGTATGGACTCATCTTACCTGTGAGCGCCAGCTAATGACTCGTGGGCCCATGAGCAGTTGACTCGGTGCCTGTGGAGTCTAGAGGTCAGCCAGACCATGAGGCTCTGCACTTGCTTGGTTGTGACAGCAGGTACTTCGGCCCCATAGCAGAGTATGGAGTCTGGTGAGCGATAGCACCTGAGCAGGTGTGTGAGCCATGGACCGGAAGCTTCCCCAGCACCCGAGGCTGGGTATTGGAAACTCAGGGAGGCCACCTAAGACCCTGGTGGATGTTTCTGTGTTGCAATGTTGAGGTTTGCTGAGTCTCATTGCAAATCACAGAGAGAAATGGGAAAATTCTCAGCTATTTTGGACAAAGGCTGGTCTAGAAATAGGCCTAATGTTTCTGTTGGGCAACAGATTTGGGCTTTTTTATGTGGTGCTGATGTGATACGGGACTTTCCAATTAAAACAAGGCTTTTCAGTGCAAAACAAACGCTTCCCAGGTCCCAGCCAAGTGTGTGTGTGTAAAAGGTTTTCTCAGACTGTCTCTGAATCATTTTCAGATGAAATTGTGGCCTTGAAGCGGCTGAAGATGGAGAAGGAGAAAGAGGGCTTCCCAATCACATCTCTCAGAGAGATCAACACCATCCTGAAGGCTCAGCACCCCAATATTGTCACTGTCCGGGTATGGCAGCCCCCCAAAATGTCCATGCCCTGATGCTCATCACATGGTCTAGTTCCCTACCGTCTCTGCATGCCCATGCCCCAGGAATCAACCACTGCAGGGGTGGGGCCTGAGAGGAGCAGGGCACCCACAGACCGGCTTTCCTTCTCTAGGAAATAGTCGTGGGCAGCAATATGGACAAGATCTACATAGTGATGAACTACGTGGAACATGACCTCAAAAGCCTGATGGAGACCATGAAGCAGCCTTTCCTGCCAGGTGGGGCCCTCTGGCCAGTGTCCCCAACGAGAAACATCCCATGCTTGGGCTGCCCAAGCTGCAGGCTGTGTCCCTGACCTTGTAACTCTGACCTCCTCATGCTGTGCACGAGTGTTTGCGCATGTGAGGGCCATGCTGAGCTGGGAGCCTCCCCAGGATGGACGCACCCCAAGAAGCCTGGTCGCTGCTGAGGTGGGTAGATAACCTGGGACTGACCCTTTGCTCTCTAGGGGAGGTGAAGACCCTGATGATCCAGCTGCTGCGTGGGGTGAAGCACCTACATGACAACTGGATCCTGCACCGGGACCTCAAGACATCCAACCTGCTGCTGAGCCACGCCGGCATCCTCAAGGTAATAGGGCTCACCCCACGGGGCCCCTGATGCCCGGGCCTCGGGGGCCTGCCCATAGCCCACCCTCCATCCTTGCAGGTTGGGGACTTTGGCCTGGCAAGGGAGTACGGGTCCCCTCTGAAGGCCTACACTCCAGTTGTGGTGACCCTGTGGTACCGTGCCCCAGAGCTGCTGCTGGGTGCCAAGGTGAGTGCCAGGGGCTGTGGGGGCCTAACCTGCGCTCACTGCCCCACCAGCCCTGAGTGTGCCCCCTGGCCTCCCAGGAGTACTCCACGGCTGTGGACATGTGGTCGGTGGGCTGCATCTTTGGGGAGCTGCTGACTCAGAAGCCACTATTCCCTGGGAAGTCGGAAATCGATCAGATCAACAAAGTGTTTAAGGTTTGTCTGTGGCTCCTACCTGCAGGGCATCCTGTGAGGTGTACGCAGGCACCCTGGACCAGACCCTTCCCTGCAGGCTGTGGCTGTTCTGAGACATCTCTCTCTGTCTCTCCCTCAGGACCTGGGGACCCCCAGTGAGAAAATCTGGCCTGGCTACAATGACCTCCCCGCAGTCAAGAAGATGACCTTTACTGAATACCCCTATAATAATCTCCGCAAACGCTTTGGGGCCCTGCTCTCAGACCAGGGTTTCGATCTCATGAACAAGTGTGTAAACATGCAGGGCGTGCGCCCCCTATGCCCCAGCCCACGCCCACCCCTACTCCTGTGCCAGGTGCCAATTGCTCTTGTCCTCCCAGGTTCCTGACCTACTTCCCTGGGCGGAGAGTCAGTGCAGAGGATGGCCTCAAGCATGAGTACTTCCGAGAGACGCCCCTCCCCATCGACCCGTCGATGTTCCCCACGTGGCCCGCCAAGAGTGAGCAGCAAAGGGTGAAGCGTGGCACGAGCCCACGGCCGCCGGAAGGAGGCCTAGGCTACAGCCAGCTGGTGAGGGGCAGGGCTAGCAGAGGAGGAGGGAAGGTGTGGGGGCTCCCTGAGGCGGGGCTGGCCCGGCCGGGGCCCCACGGCACCACTTGCTCCCCAGGGCGACGACGACCTGAAGGAGACGGGTTTCCACCTCACGACCACAAACCAGGGGGCCTCAGCCGCGGGCCCTGGCTTCAGCCTCAAGTTCTGAGGTTCTGTACGGAGCCCACCCCAGCCCCATGGGGGCCGCTCAGGAACACTCGGCGGGGGTCGGTGCTGGAGGCAGCATGCAGGTCCAGACCCAAACCCTGCTTTGTGTGTACTCAGCTGCCACAGGCTGGGACGGCCCTGGATCTCCAGCTCAAGTCTCAGACTGCCTGTTCTGTTTGCTTTTCCACGTTTCATTTTTATTTTATCTTGGCTTGTAAATTTGTAGAATTAAATCACATTTTCCTTGTTGTGGAAGGAAAGGCTATATTTTTTCAGATGTGTCAGACTTGCCCTGCAAGGAGTGGGCAGGCGTCAGTAGGTGGCCAGTGTGGACAGCATATCCCCGACACTTGTATGCTGACCCCTGGGGGCTGTGGTGTGAGAATATAGCCTTGATTTGGAATGAAGCCATGGAGTGGGGGGGGGGGATTTTCTACTTTTAATCTTCACTCTCCTGCTTCACACCTTCCTGCCCCTCAGGGCATCCACAGCCCCAGGCACCCCAGAGCCTGGCGTGTGAGCCCTTGGCCACAGTGAGTTTTATACAAGATCATTAACGCATTTTAAGACCACAGTAAAATATTCCTGGAGGAAAGCTGTGGTATGTCCTTTCCAGCCCCTAGGGGACTGGTCCTTCACTCGTGCTGCCTGGAGGGGCCTCAGGCCCATGCTTTCTGGAAAAAGGATGGTGGGAGGGTGGGAGGAAGGATGCCTCTGATCCATGTGTCCCGCCAGGTCTCCAGCTCCCAGTCTAGCTGGACAGGGTGTAGCTCTGGCAAAGGGGGCCACCTGCCCTTGCCCGGGCCTTCCACCTGCCCCTTGTATTGGCACTACCACCGATCCTGTTTGGGGCCCCACTCCTGGGCCTCACTCGCCCCAACCCCCATCCCTCTCCCCCGAGAGGCCTGCCCTTCACAGCCTTCCTGCCTCACCCATCCCTGAGCAAACCTACCACATACCCAGGCCCCACAGGCTCCTCGGGTTCAGCCTGCTCTCCCAAAGATGCTGTTCACATTTGGGTGTCAGTTTACCCCATTTCTCAAGGACCAGCCAGGAAAAACCCTCTTGGCCTTGGCTTCTGAGGACTGCACCCACACCCCAGGCCACTGCAGGGAAGTCAGGAGTCCTGGCCCCAGGCTCCCCACGTCAAGCTGAGCACAAGCTGAGTGGCCCCACCCCACAGAGCCCAAAGCTGGTCCCCCACCCTCCCAAGAAAGGGTGCGCAGACTTCAGAGAATAAGTGCTTTATCAGCAGCCTCAGCCTGGCAGGACATTCAGCCCCGCACTCGGACTCGCCAGGAGTAGGTGCTGAGTACACGCTGCCGCCGGCGCACCACACACGTGTACGTGCCCTCGTTGATGGCGTTGGCAATGATGCTCAGATGTGCCTCGCCCAGCGCCAGGTAGCCAGGGTAGGAGAACTCCAGGGGTTCCTGGTCCTTGTACCAGCTGCGAGGAGGGTAGGAGGGCTGGGCAGGGTCCTGAGCCCCCACTGCCCCCCCCTTGGGGTCATGGGGCAGGGCCACTCACTACACTTTGCCTTTCTTGTGAAGGATCTTCTGGCCACATCGAAAGGTCACGTTCCGGCCCTCAGGCACCAGCCTGGTCTTGGTCCTGGGTGGTGGTGCAGTGGCGGCCACCGTGGGGAAGGGGAACTCTATTCGGTGTGGGGGAAGAGGGGTCAGAGGGGCCACATAGTGCCCTGCCTCTGACCAGACCCAAGCCAGGAATTGGGACCCAGCCTCACCATAGCAGAAGTCACAGCTGCTGGGGCAGAGCCTCTTCATGAGCCTCCGGCGGGTGTCACAAAATCCCCTCCGAGCCCAGGATGTGCACACGAATAGCCGGTCTAGGCAGCCTGCAGGAGGGCAACGTGGCCTTAGGGCCGGCCTGCCAGCCCGCCGGCCTGCCCACCTGCCCACAGCACTCACCATAGAGTCGGTGCAGCCCCCACAGCTCATCCTGCGACAGGGTCTTCCAGCCACGCAGAGTGGCATTAAGGTGCATGAGTGCCCGGCCATGCTGTGAGTGCATCAGGCCCAGCGCATGGCCAATCTCATGGGCCGCCACGTGCACCAGGTCAGTGAGCCAAACGCCTAAAGGTCCCGTGGGTCAGGCCCTCGAACCCTGGCCCAGCTCTCCCAGCTTTGCCCACCAGCCTCACTTGCCGTGGCCACATCTGCAGTGTGGCCACAGAGCCTCCCTCAGCACAGCCATGGGAAGATAAGAATGTTCCAGGCCAGCAGAGGCAGTGAGCTCGGCCCCCAGGAATGTAACTCCAGTTCCCTCTCCAGCAGCAGGGGGCGGGGGTGGGGGGTGGTTCGGGGCTCCTGGAACCCAGGCCTATGGCCTCCTCCCAGCCTCTTCTTCCTGCCTCCTCAACCCCAAATCGCAGCCACCACCCTCAAAGCCCTCCTGCTCTGCCCACCAAGGTGCAGAGGGCCCCACAGGAGGCCAGGCCATCACCTTTCTTCCAGCTGTAGCGTGTGGGCCCCAGGACCCAGTATTCACTGTCATCAAAGTGGATGCCGCCGTGCGGGGGAAAGAAGGCGTGAGCCAGCTCGCCTGTTGGGCCATCGAAGCAGTGGTGCAGCGCGGAGACCAGGCAGTCCGTATGGTTGACCGGGTAGAAGCCTGGGGGAGCACAGGGCTGAGAGGGGGCCACAGGGCCAGGTGGGGGCGGGGGCACGGCGCCCACCTATGCGCAGGTCGCTGGGCTGCTCAGGGGCCACCTCTCGGAAGCTGAAGGGGGACACGTCACTCCACATGCGAAAGGCAGTGGCCAGGCCCCGCCGGGTCTCACTGGGGCTCAGCAGGTTCCGTGGGAAGGAGAGGATCCTGGGATGGGGGTCAAGGTCAGAGGTGGCGGCCAGGCTGGGCAAGTTCCCTCAGCCCCACCATCTGGGCCCCGGTCACACCTGTAGGTGAGGTTGAAGTGGTCCCAGCGCAGCCTGGCTGGGGTCAGCGTGTAGCGGCGTCTGCGGGGTGCCTGGAGGGGCAGGGGACTGGGTCCTGGGGTGGCGAAGACACCCACAGGGTAGGGTGCAGCGAGGTCTCCCTTCAAGGAAAGCGAGTACTCTTGGGGAGGAAGTAGGGATCATCCCCACATCTGAAAACACTCAGAGAAAGAACTAAAGAAAATGGGGCGGGGTGCGTGGTTCAGGGACCTTTTTTGGTCTCTGCATTTTCAGGTTTTTCACCCCAGCAAGGGTGTTACTTTACAGCCTGGGTGGGGGGGAAGGTGACTGACCACAGGCGGGGTCCGAGTGGGTGGAGCCGGAGGCCTGATGCCGGCTTCCCCCTCCCCCTTCCCTCCCCCCAACCAGGGACCCGCAGGCTCCTGGACCCTCAGGCGACTGGCCCCTCTGCCCATCCCCGGCTGCTCTCACCTGTGCTGCGCTGGCCCCCAGCCGGGCTGCAGGGGCCCCGGGCCGCGCCAGCAGCAGGAGCACCGGCAGCAGGCACAGGGCGCCCAGCACAGCTCTCAGCCAGCGAGCCTGGGCTTGGGCCCCCGCTGCTGAGGACACGCAGGCCCCGAGGCCCATGGCGCCTGCGGACTCGCTGTCGGGGCCTAGAGCCCACTGGGGCTGGGCGGGGAGGCGCTGCAATCGGCTCCGGTTACAGGGGTGGGTGCTGGGGGAGGCGCGCCCCTGAAGGGAACCAGCTGGCCGTCCCGCCGTCAGGACAGCCTCGCCGCCTGCCTGGAGTGTGGACCCGGGGCCTGTGGGTCGGTGGCAGCAGCCTGGGCAGGGCCTGCTGGGCGGGGTCACTTGAGGAGGGGGGGACGAGGAGGGCCCAGCAGCAAGGGAAGGGATAGATGCCGGAGGCTCAGGCCCAGGGAAGGGTAGTCAGTTGGGGTCCTGAGAGAGCTCTTTTCCTGGATGGGGTGTCCCCCAGTCCCCCTACTCCTGAATGAGACCTGGGAGTGGAGCCTGCATTCTAGCCAACTTGGGACCTGTCCCCTGCCCTTGCAGCTGCCTGACCAGGTCTCTGAGAGGGGTGGGGATGAGGAGAGTGGAGTACTGGGCACTGGGCAGGAAAGAGGTCGGGGCGAGACGCAGGAGAGGGGGCAGGCGGCATGGGGATGGTGCCAGGGAGGACCCAGCTACGGGAGCTGGAGGGAAGAGACCCCATGGGAGCTAGTGGGGAAGCGCATGGAGTGCGGCGGCTGTGGGAGCCAAGAACTGTTCCCCTGGCTGGGGCCAAGGTCTGAACAGCCGGATGGGGAGGCGAGGAAGCAGCGTCCTGAGGCCAGAAGCCTCCAGCCTCAAAGGGTTATTGGTGTGGGCCCCTCGGGACTGGGGGACCTGGGATTGGGGACGCCTGGCCAGAGGGACTGGGAGCAGAGGGAGAGGCAGAGGGCCAGACCGGCTGGGGGGGCTTGGCCGTCCCCATTCTCCATCCAGGCCTGGCGCCCAGTGACAGCACAGCAGGCCAGCGGGGTCAGTGCCAAGCTGCTGGCCGACAGCCCTGAGGCTCTGGGGGAGCATTCCGGGTGGTTCTTGGAAAGCGCCCTGCCAGCCAGAGCCCAGGCGAGTGCTGCGCCCGCTCTCCAAGGCTAAATATTTGCCCCCACACGAGGTCCTCCAGCCCTGTGTCTGCCTCCCACGCTCCATGGTCCCAAGACCTTAGGGGTCTCAGGCTGAAAACTAACACCTCCCCCAACTCCCTGCCAAGCAGGGACCCGGGTCAGAGGCGACTGCACAGCCCGCCCAGGGGAGGAGGAAGGGGCAGGGGTCGGAGGGAGACACCCCCACCCCCGACAGACACTGGGGTAATGGCCAATCCTTGGCTTCTGGGGGACATCACGCTCCTGGGGGCCGTCCTTCCACGAACCCAGGCCAGGACGATGGACGCTGGACACCGCTGGACGCGGGGGCCCGGCCCAGAGCGCAGAGCCAGGGCAGCGGCGGACCTGCGCCACCCGCCCCCACCCCGCCCCAGGCAGGCAACAGACGTAAAAGTCCGAGAATCTTTTTATAAAACACGTGGTGGGGGCTTGCGAAGACAACGGCGGGACGTGGCTCCGGAACGTGGCGGGGCGCGGCCGGGAGTGCGGGGGGGGGGGGGGGGGCGGGCTACACGAAGATCTGGATGCGGTCGCGGATGGGCTGGCGGCAGATGGGGCAGGCGCTGAGCGCGGCGCCGCAGGGTGCGCACGCGCCGTGGCCGCACTGGAACACGAGGCGGATGTGGCTGTCGATGCAGATGGGGCAGGTGATGCGCTCCTCCATCTGCCGGTAGCGACTCTGCAGCTCCTCCACCAGCTGCCGCGGCGGGCCGGACGCGGGGGTCGCGCTGGCCACCTCTGTGCCGTCTGCGGGGGGGATCGGGGTCAGGGGCGGGGCGGCGGGGGCCGGACGTGCGCACAGACGCGGGCCGGGCTGAGCCACCCACCTGGCCGCAGCTTCTTGCCGATGACCACTTGGCATCTGATGCACTTCTTCATCCTGCGCGCGCACTCTGCGGGGAGCGGGGGAGGGGAGAGGAAGCCGGAGCCCGGTTGGGCGGGCCCAAGGGGACCGGGGACATGCCCCCCGGCCCCCCGCACTCACCCTCGCACACAGTGCGGTGCTGGCACGGCGAGAACAGCACCAGCAGGGCCAGCTCCGAGCACACCAGGCACTCGGCCGCCTCGGGCCCCGACGGCGCAGCCACGTGCAGGTTCGTCACGGTGTTGGGGGTGCCAAGCACCAGCCTCGGGCCCGGGGCCGCACCCCCGCTGCCGCCCGCGTGCCTCTCCCTGCGGTTGGAGGAGGGGGCTTGAACGGGCCCGGGGCACCGGGGCCCGCCCCCCACCCCGCCGGGCTCACCGGAAGCGCTGTGCACAGCCCTGCAGGGCCTTGAGTACGCGGCCCTCGGCGGCCAGGTCCAGCGGGCTGCGGCCCCGGTGGTTGGTGTAGCTCACGTCGGCGCCCTCCAGTGCCAGGAAGCATGCGACCGCCGCTCCCACCGTCAGCTCCCCACTGCCCTGGAGGCCTGAGGCCTGGAGCTGGACGGCAGACACAGGCAGGCCGGTGAAGGCAGGCCCTGGGCATGCAGGAGCCTCTCCCAGCACCCGGCCCCCGGGGCTTCGGTGTGAGGCTGCTGGAACAGGAGGGAGGCAGGTGGCCGGGCCAAGCGCCCAGCCAGGGAACTCCGGGGTAGGGGCAGAGTTCTGATGGACCCCACCCTGCCCTGCTGTGTGTGCCCTATCCCCTTCCCAAGCCGGCCAGGAGCACATCTTCTCAGGGAACCTGGGCCACTCTGCGGTGACTGAGGTCATAGAAAACACCTTTAGCAAACCGCAGTCCCCTGGACTCACCCACCCCCAAGAAGGCCTGGCTCCCTGGTCAGACACCCACAGTGGAGGTGGCCAGTCCCTCAGGCCCCACTTCTGGCCTGCAGCCAGGCTCTCTGGCCCACCTCTTCAGTACCCAGATCCACACTTCCTCACCCTGGACAGCAGCTGCAAGGGCCCTGGGTCCCCCCCGGCCCCATCTGCTGCCAGGGGCAGCAGCTGATGACGCTGCAGGGCCACGTGCAAGGCTGTGTCCCCTTCCTCGTCCTCGGCATTGACACTGCAGCCCGCATCCACCAGCAGCGGCACCAGCCCCACATGGGCCTGCTGCACAGCCAGGTGCAGGGGGGACTGGAGCTTACGGTTGCGAACGTTCACATCGCAGCGGCCCTGAGAAGAGGTAAAGGCTCAGCCCACGGACCCCAGGTCAGCCCTGGCCCCCGAGGCCCTGTGCTGGTCCACACCTCTCGGATGAGAATCTGGGCCACTTCCCGGTGGTTGTTGAGGGCAGCCAGGTGTAAGGCTGTGAAGCCATCCTCCTTCTTGGCGTCCACCAGCTGTCGTGCCCGAGCTAGAATCCTCCTGACAGCTCTGTGGGAGCAGGGAGACGTGTCTGGGGTCCAGAATGGCCTCAGTGTCCCAGCAGCACCACGGGAGCTTGGCCACCAGCTGCACCCACCCCACACTCACAGCGTGTGGCCCTTGAGGGATGCATGATGCAGAAGGGTGAAGCCCTGGCTGTTAGTGGCCGTGACATCAACACCCGGCACCTCAGTGAGGACCTCCACGATGCCGCTGGCGCCGGCGCCCGCCGAGATGGCACAGTGCAGAGGTGTGTCCGCGTGTGCATCCTGCCGGCAGTGGTCAATGGTCACCCAGCAGGAAGGTAAATGCCACTGTATCCTTGGGCCCAGGGGTACAGCCAAAGGACTCCACACTTACAGGCAGGTTGACGTCACAGCCACGTTCACAGAGAACCTTCACCACCTCCAGGAAGCCCCTCTGCACAGCCACATGCAGTGCTGCGCTCCGGGTGCTGTTAAGAGCATTGGCCCCACACCCAGAGCTCAGGAGCAACCGGGCAGCCTCAGGCTGGTTCCTGACAGAAGAGGAAGCAGGAGGGTCCTGTGCCTACTGGCTGGACCTGCACCCCAGCCCCCACCGTGTCCCTGCCAGGGCCTCACCCCAAGGCTGCATAGTGCAGCGCCGTATTGCCCTCATCATCTGCCAGGTCCATGCCCGCTCGTGCCTGCAGCAGCAGCCGCACCAGCTCCACCTGGCCTAGGTAGGCGGCCACCTGCAGGGCGGTCCTGCCCTGGTTCTTGGTGTCCACCTACCAGGAGAGCCAGCAGGTCAGTCCCCAGCCCTCCAGCCCATCCTTGGGGCAGGCCAGTGGAAGGGAGGATGGCAGGTAGGGCGAGTGTCAGGGCCTTGCCTGCTCTGGGTGCCGCCTCAGCTGGTCCAGAGCCCCGGCCATACTGCCCAAGGCCACCTCCACCACCAGTCTCCCTGGGTGCTCCAGGTCACTCTTCTGGGCTCGAAGCTTCTCCAGGGCAACACTCAGGAAGCCTGGGTGGGGCAGGGCTTCAGTTAAGTGGAGGCCAAGGGCAGCCCTGCCTCCTGCCGGCCACCCAAGGTGGGCACACCCACTTTTGTTCTCCCTGGCACGTTCGGCCACATCCAGGTTGGCATCCTCCTCAGGCCGGTAGGCCACCAGGCAGGAGGGGCTGAAGGTCCACAGCTGACCACCGACTGCCACACGCAGGTTACCGTCTCTGAAAACTTTCACCACCTTCCCAATGCGGCCCAGGGCCTAGGTGGGGAGAGAGGAGGGTCATGGGCAGATCTCCCACCAGGTGAGAGAGGTGGGGTGGGGGTGGGATCAGCAGTACTCACGGGGGCCATGTCATCTGTCCACTCGCCATGCCCAGCCTGCAGCCGCTTCACTGTGTCAAGGTCATCGATGACCCGTACCACATCGCCCACCCAGAAGGCATTGTGCTGAGTGAGAGAGAGGGGCACATGAGGGGCACCCCCAAGCATGTGTGGCTACCCAAGGCCGTGGGGTGGGAAGGCACCTCCACGGAGCTCCAAAGGACTGACAGGCGTGAACCTGACCCCAGCCCCCATCTGAGAGCTGGATGAGGGCCACAAGTGACCAGGGCAGCCCTGGGTGGCCAGCCCCAGAGCCATGGGAGTGACAGCCATAGAACTGGGCAGTGGCATCCAGACCAGACCAAAGCCAACATGGGTGAAGGCCAAGGCAGGCCTGTCCCTACACACTGACAGAGGAGCAGACGGCATGGCCAAAACTAGTCTGGACCAGCCCAGGGGGTGGGGGTGGGGCCCTGGCACAAGAGCCGTGGGAGGTGGGGTCAGGAACCATTCCTCCCCCATCCCCAAGCCTTTCCTAGCCACTTATCCACACCTGTGCCCTCCCCTGTCTGACTCCTGACACCCCCCAACCCCCAGGCCAGGACTCCAGGTCCAGAGCCAGTGAGAGGGGTATAAGCCCCCAGTCAGGGCCCCCAACCAAACCACCCTGCTCCCCAGCAGCACTCACTATACCCAGCCCTGTGCCCACTGCCTGGTTAAGTGTTCACCCTCTTCCTCAAGGGCCTCCCCACCAGTCCCACATGCTCCCCACACCACACCCACCAGGACATTTTAGAAAGTCACCTCCCACCTCTAATGTTGCAGTGGGTCCCTCAGGCCAGGAGGAAAAAGGTCAGGGCCTGGGCTGCCAGCCCCCGCCTCCCCCAGCACCACACTCTCATGACTGAGTCCCCTCCCTGTGCAACTCAGCCTCTCTGGACCCCATGAAGCCCTCCCCTCTTCCTTCAGGGCTGGAGAAGGGCATTCCCAAAGCCGAGCAGGTACACAGACGGGGTGCAGAAGCGAACAGTTGGGGCTCAGCCCAGCCCCCCATGCACCTTGGTGAGAGCCCCAGGGTGGAAGGTCCAGCGGGTCTCACGGCCGAACTGCACACGCACATCCCCACGGTCCGTGATGCGGTGCACGGTGCCCGTCTGTCCGATAAACTGTGGCGGGTCACGGAGGCTGTGGCTGGGTGGAGCGGGAGGGCTGGGGGTCCAGAGGACACAGGGACAGGAAGGGCACAGGGGGCTCAGCGGGTGGGGCGGCTCACCTCCGCCATCCTGGGGTTCCACCCGCCGTGGCCTTCCTGCATCTCCCTCAGGATGTCTGTGTCCAGCAGACACTTAACCTTGTCCCCGTGCTGGAAAGGCTGGCTGTCGGCACTCACCCTGCGCTGCAGCTCTGCTGGCTTACCTGGGGGTGGGCGACAGGCCCCCCTCCTCAGTGGCATCCCACCTTGGCAGCATCCCCCACCCCCGGCCATGTCACAGGTCAGCCCCCACCCAACACTGCCCCAGGACACAGCAAGGGCAGGAGGGTAGCTGGGCAGGCAGGGTGCCATCCCTGGGACCCCTACCAAGCCTCGGGAGGTGCTCCTTGTAGTAGAAGCCACCAGCTGCCTCGTTCACACACTTGAGGTCCACCTTGCCCTTGTGGCCCACACGGTACACATTGGTGGTGCCATCAGCCCACGTCACACTGGCCACACTCCGGCCCGTCTCCACATCCCAGCCACGGATGTCCACCACTCGGCCCAGCTTCCCTTCCCCTCCTGGGGAGACAAGGGCCCCGTCGCAGGCTCAGCCTATGCCAGGAAGCTTAGCCACGGCCACTGACAGCCCAGACCCTCACTCACCATCCTGCGAACCCCACTCCCAGTCAGGGCCCCGCACCACCTTCGCCCCCTGGAAGATGCCCCTCAATGGGATCCTCAGGAGGCCCTGGCGGGGACTCAGCGTGACCCTGCAAGAAAGCGAGTGGGCACTTGCGACAAGCAGGGCAGTAGTGCGAGCCCTCTGGCCCACCCAGTTGTTGCCCCAGGATGGCTGGCCTGGCAGGTCATTGTCCTCCCCTAGGCCCCTTGCAGCATGGCCTCGTGCTGTCCCTCCACACCTGGTGCCTCCTAATGAGCCACCTGCTGTCAGGGTTGTCCCCAGAGCTCAGTGCATAGCCTGGCTCTCAGGGTACGTCTTGGCACAAAGAAACAGAACCAGTAACACGGGCTCCCCCAGAGGTAGCCACAGACCGCCGACCCCTACTCCCACTCTGGGCAGCAGGTGGCTGGTACCGAGCATGCACCTGCCACATGAGACCTTGTAGGTGGGGTCTCGGGGCATCTAGACAGCCACCCCAGCCCGGGGACACCTCCCAGCTTCATCCACTGCCCACCCTCAGCGAAGGAGGCCCCCTGCAGGCCAACAGCGTCTCCCCAGCTGTCCCTCTGGGTTAGTTCCCAGCACCGGGTGCCCAGGGCTCCCATGGCGGACACTGGCCACACAGCCACACACAGGTCCGCTCAGTGCTCCCTCCTCCTCCACCCCTCCAGGGCCACTGCCAGGACAAGACCCTGCGCACAGCATCCACCCCTGCAGACCTACTCCAATGGTTGGTTTGGGTTACCCTTCCACAGGGGGTGGGGGTCGGTGGCGACCGCCAGGCCTCTGTGGTGACCCCGACCTTGGCTGCTCCTCCAGGAAGCAGCTCAGAAAGGGCTCCAGCCACAGCCCGGAGGGGAATGCCTCCCCACCCCCACCACTCCAGGGGGCCAAGGCCTGCTCAGGCGCATGCTTGCTTGTCCCAAACCTGGGGCACGGGCAAGCTGGGAGGCGGTGCCACCAAAGCCTCGAGCCCTCCAGAGCAGCGCACGGCCACAGGGGCAGCAGGCAGAACTCACGGGCGCGAGTGGGCTGTCTCGTAGCGCTCGAAGGCGTGGGTGAGGTCATGCTTGTTGTGCATGTAGCACTGCGTGCACAGGTCGTAGTCGAAGCAGACGCGGCACTTCCAGCGCATGCCTCGCAGGCCGTGCTTCTTGCAGCAGTCGCAGATGATGTTGGGGTGGCGGACGCCTGGGGGCAGGGCGGGGTCAGCGAGTGTGGACCCTTCAGCCCCTCCCCACCACCACCACAGCCGCACACACCGATCTGGGCGTTGTCATAGAGCAGCAGGTCGTGGGCACCCTGGTAGCCAGCGCGGTAGTTGGTGCGGGTGCCGTGGTCCCACTGCACAACTACCGTGCGGTCGGGGGTCGAGGGGCTACCATGGCGGCCGAGCTCCACCACTGTGCCCACGCCGCCCTCACCGCCATCCTGCTGGCCCCACTTCCAGTCCACGCCGCGTACCACACGCATGCCCACCTGCACACCTGCCTGGGGGTCTGGGTCCATGGTGGGCAGGACTGCTCCGGGACCTGCAGGCAGACGGTACCCTCAGGCCACATGGAGAAGGCCACACAGGCTCTCACCAGTTCTGAGAGGGCTGCCAGGGAGACGGGGGAAGAAGGGGGGGGGACACGTCTCGGAGAACTAGGCAGGGAGGGGCATGAGGGCATGTGCAAATGCCCTGAGGCAGAGAGAAGCGTGATAAGCATGTGTGCTACAGCCCAAAGGAGGTGCACCTGGCCACTGGCCAGCAGCAAGGGACACAAGCTGCAGAGATGCAACATGGCACCTGTCCTGGAGGAAAGGTAGGACCCTTCTTTGGAAAGGCCGCTCCAGCCACTATGAGATGCTGTGGTGAACACAAGCAGAGGTCCAGGGGCAGTCCTAGAGAGAGGCCAGCGGACCCCCAGGGAACAAGACTTGGCGAATACCCAAAGAGTGGCCGCCTGTGCTCAGAGATCCAGTTCTGGGTGGTCGGCAGAGTGGGCCATCAGTACACATTTGTTCTAAAATTAGTGGATTTGGGACACCCAGGGGGCGCTCAGTCGGTTAAGCATCTGCCCTCAGCTAACAATCCCAGGGTCCTGGGATGGAGCCCCACATCAGGTTCTTTGTTCAGCAAGGCGTCTGCTTCTCCCTCTCCCCCAACTTGTGCTGTCAAATAAATAAAGCCTTCACAAAAACCCAGACTCTCTCTCATGCAGCCAGTTGGTAAGTGACACTGCGCTGACGTCAGGAACCAGTGTGTGCAGGCACCACAGAGGGCTTGTCTCTAGAGCATATGGGGAACTCAGATGGACACAAAGCAGGTGACCCAAGAGTAAAGGGGCATCTGCCCAAAGACTAATAAACACAGGTTCCGGCCACCAGGCCACTGCCTCCGAATGGAACGCTGCCCTAGGGCAGTGGACAGTGCCTGGGGTCACTCAGGGCCCCACTTCTGGGGTCTTCCCTGGAGAACTGTGGCCCACCCACTCCGGATTTGTACCAGAGGGCAGTGGAGGCTGTGTACAGAGCAGCTCTGATCCCATGCCCTTCCAGGTGAACTGGTCATGAGATGTGACATACTCCCTGGGAGCACAAACCCACCACGCGATGCACGGGCCAGCTCCGCAGATGTGCAAGGAAAGCCGCCAGGTGCCTGCTATCTGAATCCATTTATGGAAAGTACACAAACAGGGCAAGCAAACTCAGGGTGATGGCAGCAGGGAACCTGCTGGAGGCAGCCCCAGGGACTCTGGGACCCAGGGACACACTATGTCTTGACCTGGGTGCTAACTACATGCCTATTCACTTCGCAAATCTGGATCCCTTATGACCTGGGACCTGTGTTAGATGTGTTTCTTCAACAAAGTTTTTTAAATTAATGACACAAATAGATTTGAGTAACTGTTAAGAGAGAAAGTCAACAGGACTCGGAGAGGACCCAGAGACTCCCCGATAGTAAGCGAGCAATCAGCACGCCATTTCTGGACATGGTCTGCAGTGTTGCCAGCAGGGCCCTGAGGCTGGAAAAGGAGCTAAAGAGCAGACAGGCTCCTTCCAGCTCCCATGTGTGCCCAGTGGCCCCGCCTGGCCACATGACACTGGCCAGCAATATGGAGGAAAACCACTTATCACGCCTCTACTTAGGCCCCTCTCCAGGGTCCTGGGTCCTGCCCCACCCCCAAATCTGACATTCACCATATCACAGGCCTGGCTCCCTCAGGAAACACTGCCAGCCAGCTGAGGCCACAGGTGAGCAGTGAGGAGGGGCAGTGGCCAGGTTTTGCCAGGAGCAGGGGCCGAGCCCCATGGGCCCTCTGACATCCACTGTCTGCCCAGGTCCACGCCAAGACCCATGTCCAGCACAGGATAGGCAGGGAAGGGGCACTGCCCATGGGGCTGGGCCTCAGTCCATGCCCAGCCTGGTGTTTGAGTCAATGACCGCCTCATATTCTCAGGGGTATGAACCACCTAGCCAGCTCCAACGTCTGCACATTCTCCTCCCTCCTGGACGGGTTCCCTATGGCAGCTGCTGCTTCACCTTGTGCAGGCAGGACCTCTGGGGCTTTCACAGAAGCAGGTGGATGTCTTAGGACAAACCTTTCCAACCCATGGACTAATTATGAGCCTTTCCTCAAAGAAACTCCTCATTGCTTGTTCATCTCGAGAGCCTCACCTCTTGGGCCACTTGGCCTCCCCATACTGCTGTTTCTCAGCCCCCTTCCCTTCCGGTCTCTGGCCCTTGCTAAGGCACGGCACCTGGGCCTGAGACCGCTGCAGGCTCCGTTACCAAAAACTTCTCTCTTCCACAGAACACAGCCAAGCCCAGGTCAGCCACAGTATGGACGCCCCCCGCCCCCCCAAGAATGCCTGTGACTCTTAAATGCCAGCAAGCTGCAGATGAGGGGAGGCATCCTGTGGGCCGCACCTGGGCAAGGAGGTACAGCGGGCCCTCCATGTGTGGCCTCAGCCACCTGCCTGGTGCCTGCCCATTAGCAGCTGCTACAGACGTCTGACTTGGACAGAGCAGCACAGCCTGAGCTGGTGGCCTGCTGGCAGCGTGGTGGCATGCCCCTTAATGCACAGGTCCGAACCCCTACCCTGCCTTCCTCTGCCAATCCTCTTCCATGCCAAGAACCCACCAGAAATGGCAGCACTGGGCAGGTCACACTGGGCTACTCCTTGCTCTCCCCAGATGCTCCTGCTGAGCGACACTCAGCCAGCATGCATCTCATCCCAGGCAACCACAAACCTAGACGAGTGTGGGCAGACAGGCCAACTAAAGATCCCTGATGGCAGGAGAAGCCCATCTGCAGAGCCCCAAAACAGGCTCCACACAGAATAAAGGACTCAGAGCAGGTAAGGACCCAAGTGGCATGAGTCATTCTTTGCCAGGATGGCATGCCCTCAACCTGCCCAGCCGGCCACACCTGCCTGCCCACTGCCCTTACAATACATGATCATTTCCAACAAGACATAGGGGGCACACCAAGGAGAATGAGTTGTAGCCCACGCCTGGCCTGGCTCTATGGCCATGGGCAAAAAATGAGGTAGCGGGGTGGAAGAGTGCCCAGAAGTTTCTGTGAGAAGCCAGGACTGGGCTTTAGCCCACGGCAGTGCCACGTGGGGCAGCAGCACAGTCCAGCCTGTAGCAAGAGGTGCTTCTGGCCAGCCTCCACTGCATTCACACACAATCAGTTGTACCCCATGCCTAGCAGGGGAACTGCCAGCCTTCCCAGGGCTGTTCTCCTCACAGGAACCCAGAAACCTGCGTGGGACACAGTCAGATGGGACCCGCTGAGCCGTGGGCTTCCTCTGGCCCCTCACCTCGGGTACCCAGACCAGCACCCCCTGAGGAAGATGGTGGAGGACAGAGGAGCAGCCTGCTCTGGAGACACCCACAGCCCTAGCCCTGGGGTCCCCTTGTCTCCCCTCCAGCACCTGATCCCCACCAGTCATGAGGTCTGCCCTCTGCTTTGGCATCTCCATCCAGCATGGTGGCACCTTGGTTCAGGCCTGACCCTGAACCTCCAACAACCCCATTGTCCCTTCCTACATGTCACTATGGGCACAGGGCACTCAGTTCCTGGGCCTCAGAAACATCTTAGCACAGTATCCTAGCACCCTCGTGACATGGGCCAGGTAGCTTTCCAGGTCTCTCCATCATTCCTTTACACCTACCACTTTGCCTGGGCTCCATCACTGATGTCCCCAGGGCCCAGCACACGCTGAGCATGCCCCATGTGACATCAGGTGCCCACCCCTCCTGGTATTAGGACCCACTACTTTACTTCAGAAGGTCCCACCGGGCTGTGCAGGGAGGAGGTAGCAAGTGGGAAATGGACCAGGGTCAGCAGTCAGGAGGCAGCAACCAAACCCAGAGAGGCTAGAGAGAAAAAAAAGCACCCGTTTCAGTGGGAAATTCACCCAAAGAGTTATTTTTCTTCTTTTACCAGAAATGCTGTCCTCTGACATTGTCCACAGAGCTTATAGGCTGTAGCCCTGCCTAGCACCCAAATCCCTGCAGAGGCAGTCACTACAGATGTTTAAAACCACTCTGAAGCACGGTGCCTGGGTGACACAGTCAGTGAAGCACCCAAATCTTGGTTTTAGCTCAGGTTGTGATCTCAGGCTCATGAGATAAGCCCCATCAGGCTCCACGCTCACCACAGAGTCTGATTAAGATTCTCTCTCCAAAAAAAAAAAAAAAAAAGATTCTCTCTCTCTCTTCCTCTGCCCCCCCGCCCTCAACCCAACCCCACTGGTGCGTGAGCAAGCAACAGCTCACTCTCTCTCAACCTCTCAAAAAAACAAAAAGACTCAAGACAGAGCGTGAGGACTCAAGGGACAGATACACGTTAGCAAGACTATAACTTACCTTAGCACACAAACCAGTCTCGTGTCAGCATTCCAGACATTTAGCGGCTACTTCTTGGGTCACAAATTTGACAGCCACCAAGATTTCCTGTTGGAAACTAGCAGCCATGCCGACACAGAACACAGCAAACCAAACAGGCAGCCAGCAAGCAAGTCTGGAGAAAATGGTTTTTAAAAGGCAGTTTTACACTTCTGGTATTTACCACCTCAACCAAACGGGCGGACATCTGGGTCTGTTCTGTTGGGTAATAGTTTTTCTTATCTCAAGGAACTGCCAGCTCTTGGAGACAGAAGGATTTCCAAAACATACCTTAGGAGAGTGTAGAAATAAGAGATTTTCCCTATTTGTGAATATTTTATTGGAAGAACTTTTAAAAGCCATAAAGATTAAATCCCACTTAGCTAGGAAGTTGGCAAATTGCCTTTATTCAATAGAATACAGTTACATGACACTGACACGACATGCAACAGGCAGCGGCCACCCCTTTCCCTGTACCACGGGCTGTGCCTGATGATGCTGTTTGAATCAACACCATGAGGGGCACAGTCAACTGGCCAAACTTGGTGAATCACAGGCTACTGTCACGTAGCAGCTCTGGCTAAGACCAAGGTGGACATCCTGGGTGGGGGTGCAGGGGAGTCTGGCCCATGAGGGACTGGGGTGAAGCCCTGAGACAGAGCCCAGGAAACCCAACGAGGCCCAGCACGAAGACACCTGCCTTCCGAAGGCCTAAAGTAAGTGCAGGGCTGTCATCACCCGGATCTCAGCCCCGAATCTTGTCCCCTCAGGCACCATGCAGACCGGGGTGTCACAGGGGCACCTAAAGCGGGAGCAAGGCATTCAGATACTTGTTGCACCTGGAGCAACAGGCCAGGAGGGGACCTGCTAGGAAGGACCGGGTTTGCCTGGACTTCCATTTGCCTGCCTCATCCCCAGCCCCACAGGTGCCTACCAGGAAGAACTGTTTGGCACCTTTCCTCATTTCTTCAATCACTTCTGAACGCAGAGAACTGACAAGCAGAATTATCTATCACACACACACCCTCCACCCCACACACACACTCAAAACAACCAAAACTCCTCTGACATGACATCAAACAGAATCCAAAGTATGCAACAGCCAAATCCAAACTATATCACACCGCAAGCCTGTCAAGAGCTCACCTGTCTGGCCGTCCAGTCGCGCCCTCCCCCCCGCCCCCTCTGACAGTACTGGACTGCAGCCCTGATGCCTGGAGACCTGGGGACTGGCCTGCAGCCTTGCTGAGCTTCAGCGCGAGCCCTGGGCCATCCAGCCCTATGGCGCCTGGGAGATGCCAAGACGCACAGTTAGCACGTCCTACAGGACCGCGGCGGGCAGGGCCGACCCGTCCGCTCCCGCGCTGCCCGCCGTCTACATGCCCATTTCCGTGCCAACACCAACGCGGCCAGCGCCGCTCCGGGGCGCCTGCCCCCTGCCTTGCAGGGATCCTCTGGCTCTGGCGGCCTCGCGCCTGCTGCAGCAGCGAGTGTGGGGCGCGCAGGGGCCGCAGCGCCCGAGCACCACCTGCCGCCGAGACTGGAGCCGGAGGGCTGGTGGCCCGGGCGCTGCGGACGTCAGGGCCTGGCACTGCGCCCCGACCAAGACTCGCCAGGGGCAGCGTAGGAGGGCCGGGCCGGACTGGGCAAGGCGGGCGCGCACCCCCAGCGTGACCCCGCCCCGCCAGGCCGGGGCCGCCCCGCCTCCTGCCACCCCATCCCCCCCTGTCTCGGGAAGCGCCCGGGGCCCCGGTCGCGGCCAGACCCTAGTGCCCCCGTCGACCCCTCCACTTGCCCGGAAGTTTGCGTCCCGCCCGCTCGGCCCGGGGGTTCGGGGCTCGAGAAGCGCTGAGTCTATCTGCTAGTGGCCTGCTGAGCAGCCTCGGCGTGTGTAGCAGCCTGCCTGCGACCCCTCCGCTGCCGGCGCCCGCCAACCAGGCCGTTCTGCCGCGCAGAGACCACCGGCTGAGGCAACCGAGGACCCCGAGCTCGGGGCTCCTGCGGCCGCCGCGCGGCCTGCCGGGAGTTGTAGTTTGCAGCCCGCCAGGGCCAGAGCCGGGGGGCGGGTCCGAACCACGACTCCCAGGAGGCCCCGCGGAGGCGGTGACGCACGCGGCCTCAGGGGGCGGGGCGTGACGGAGGAAGTCCCGGCCCCTGCCCGGACAGCTACGGGAAAGGTCCGGGCTCGCCTCCGCGGCACACGCGAACGGAGAGCGTGTTCACGTAGGACAGCGTGTGACAGGCGTCGTCAAAAGCCGGCGGCTGCCTCGGTGGACCCCTCAGCACGCCAAGGGTCCGGGGAGGCGCGGAGCTGAGCAGCCTGGACAGGAAGGAACTGGGCTTCTCGTCGGGTTGGGCGCCGGGGCCCTAGTGCCCCGGAGGCCACCGAGAACCGGGCTTGTACGGGCCGGGCAAAGAAAGTGGGCCAAGCCGCCGGGAGCCGAGGTCAGCGCCGCCCGTACGCTGAACTTGCGGTCACGCCCCCTCGCAGGGAGGGGGCGGGGCCCTCCCCGGAAGTGCGTCACGGTCGCGCCGGCATTACGTGGCGCGGCTTGGAGAGACCGGGCGAGGAGACGCGACCCGTTGCCGTGGAGACGGAGGCAGCGGCCTGCAGAGGCGTCCTCGACCCAGAGTCTCTGAAAATCAGTGACACCAGTGTGCGGCTTTGGTTCCGGCAGAACTGAAGCCTCGCGATGAAGAACAGCAGTCTTGCCTTCGCCCCCAGCGGCACGTCCTTTCGGCCCTTGTACGGTCCGCCGGCCGAAGCCTTCCGGATCTGAACAGAGGCCACTGCCTTGGGGTTCCCGGTGGACACGCTGTGGGCCACCTGAGGCCTGAGCTGAGACCTGAGGCCTGAGCTCTGGGCCCAGTGAGACCTGAGGCCTGAGTTGTGGACCCTCTGAGGCCTGAGGCCTGAGCCCGCAGGCCTGCAGTGCCGCCGCCCCAGTGTGGCCCATTGTCACCTCTGCCTGACTGTCCTCCTCTGTCCGCTTCACACGTACCTGTTGTTCTCATGCCTACATGTTTGCTAAGCCATATTTGGTTTTTCCAGACGCTCTGATGTTTTTGCACAGGCCTACCGATGATCCTGTGCAGAGGCCCCAACCCTCTGCCTTGTCCCAGTCCCCGTCCCCGTCCCCACACCATGGGCAGGCCCCTCTGGCCTTGCTCTGCGGTCACCCTGCCTGGAACCCGTACATCTCCCTTCAGTTTACTCTCCCTTCCACTAGCTTCCTGGAAAGGGTCAGTGTCTAGAGTATGTTCTGTGCTCATCTCTGATAGGCTGCTCGGCAGACAGTAGAATTCTAGTTGGGAAACGCTTTACCTTCAGAATGTCTCACATAGTACTGTTTGCTTTCCTCCTCCAGGGATGCTATTGAAAAGTACAAACCTATTCTGAGTCCTGGTCTATGGTTTCTTCTCTGCGCATTCTCCCTGAAAGCTTTTAGGATCTTCCCTTTCTCCTTGGTGCTCAGAAGTATCACACCGATATGCTTTGATGTGAGCTTCACATTGTTCTGTGTACACATTTCTCTTCATCTTGGAGGCTCTTTTTCTTCCTTCAGTTGGGGAACCTAAAAATTCCCCTCTGGTTTTCCTGTGTTTTTTTCTAAGATTTATTTATTTGAGAGAGAGCACACACACAGGAAGAAGGAGAGAGAAACCCAAGCAGGCGCATGCCCAGCGCAGAGCCCAACATAGGGCTGCACTCGGGCTCCATCTCATGACTCTGAGATCAGAACCCAAACGCTTAATGGGCTGCACCACCCAGGCAACCCTTGTTTGCTCCTGATGGGATCCCTGTTTGTCAGATTCTCATTGCACTTCTTGGACTAATCCTGTAACTTTATTCTCTAACCCAGTGTTTTTCTGGTAGATATCCTTAAATTTACTGTCCATCTCTTCTCTTGGTTAGTTAACCTGTGATTTTGTGACTTTTAACAATAAACATACACTTGGTTTACATCCCTGTTTCTAGCACAGAGCGCCTAAAATGTTTGAACTTCCTAAGTAAAAACAGTCCTAAAGCTCTGTCTTGATACTCATAAAACGCCTCTTTCAGTCACATCTGCATTTATATTGATAAGGTGGTTTTTGGGAATACTTTGTTAACCTTAAAAATAAAACAGTTGTTTTACCCACAAAAAGTGGGCTTATTTGGTAATAACAGAGAATTAACATGGATACCTGGGTGGCTCAGTGGTTGAGCTTCTGCTTTTGGCTCAGGGCGTGATCCCTGAGTCCCGGGATTGAGCCCACCTTGGGCTCCTTGCATGGAGCCTGCTTCTCCTCTCTCTGCCTATGTCTCTGCCTGTCTCTCTATGTCTCTCAAAAATAAATAAAATCTTAAAAAGAAAAAAACAGAATTACATTTCAGGACACATAAGC